CGTTTGCTCTCCATCAGCTTCGATGACAGCATGTGGAGCCGTACAACCTATGTAAACAAAGGATCGCTACGCAAATCGAAATAGTGTTACACGTTTTTGGATATTTTCTCTGTGAAACTAAACCATTCTATTAAAGATGATTAGTTAGATGTGTAGACTAGTCAAAAAGAAAAGAGTAAAAGAAATCTGTACATTATATTGAATGGACATTGCAAGATGTGACGAATCGTCACATTTTTCTGGCCTGTGGCAGAGGTACTATGCTGGCTTGCCGCACGGAACTCTGGGTAGAGTGATTGCTGGTGTCACCAGGAATGCTTGAATAGTACTATTTAAAGGCGTACTCATGAAAATAGCATCATGAAAATAGCAATGAACAGTACTATTTAAAGGCGTACTCACTTATTCTACTCTAGGGAAGTCTAACCGTCAAGCATATTTTGCTTGATTCTGTGGACTTTGCAATTGCAAGGATTTACATAATGAGGCCGTAAACCTGACCACCTGATACTGTTAGTTGCCTTTGCGATAAGCATGGGTTACTGAAGACCAATTCTAACCCGGATCTTCGAGGGTGGAGACAAGCATGGGTTGCTCAAGACCAGTTTTAACTCGGATCGTAGTTACCCGTAGTATCTCAATGACATGCCATTTCAATATATACATGACCAAATGTGCAGAGCTGAAAGGATGAAAAGTGCTGATTTCAAACGTCAGGAGAAAACTGTTAACAGTTTATTCTTGTCAGAAGTGAGGCAATATATATGTAATATGTAGTTTTTAATCTGACGTATTAATCCTGCTTTTGACCTAGCCTTTCTCACAACCGAGGTCCGTTGATACGGATGTTTGCTCTGTTATTTTGAATCAGTTATAATACAGCAAATATATACTACCCATTAAAAGTTTAGGCTCACTATGTAAATGTAGCCACTTACTTCAGTCAACTGTTCTAAACTAGATTTTGCAAAATATTCCATACTGTTTAAAAGTAGTGTTTACACATGAATCGATGTATTGTAAAACAAATTCGTAACGTTGAAAAGATTATTGTCAATAAAGTTCAATAAATGATGAAACTCAGTGAAAATTGGCAAATTCTTAACGAAACTTTACACCAAAACGCAGCTGTTCATGTGCACAATATTTGTACATGCTTTTCATCAATTTGATGCATGATCCTCGTGCAATACATCTGCATAAAGTTTGCAGTTGGTTCCCCCAAGTGAGTGGAGAAATCAATCTTCAGTATAACCATATATATGTACATAACATATAGTGAGTGCTTTAAGTGAGTTTTAATGAATGGTTTGTAAATAGATCATTATTGGTAGTTTAGATTAGTAACTGAGATTGTAAGTGGCTGTACCCTCAAAAGGGGTTGAAGTGTTGTAAAATTATTGTCCTCCTGAGAGGGGACGTATGTCCCACTACATTCATATTAAATTTAAACCTTTTACTATTTGCAATCGTAGCAGATATGATATTTTAATGTATGGCTAGAATTATGATGTAAACCCAGCTGGATCCATGCAGGAAGCAAGAGTACTGTAAGTCCCCATGGTCCCTAGCTTGGTGATCTACCTTCAGTTGTTGGCAATGTATAGCCTGTGTTTATATTGTATAATCATCTATAAATTTTTCAGTGTTCATTATTAGTTTTGAATTGAAAAATGTGATAAACTAGTTTTTTTACTGTCCTTCGCTGAAAATTTATAATTTACCTTTATTATTGTAAAATTATAACATGTTTGTAGTCACGATATGGCTGAAATAATGTCGATGTGACTTAAAATCTTAACTTTAAGTGAGTGAGTGAGTGAGTGAGTGAGTTTGGTTTTACGCCGCTTTTAGCAATAATCCAGCAACATCACGGCGGGGGACACCAGAAATGGGCTTCACACATTGTACCCAAGTGGGGAATCGAACCCCGGTCTTCGGCGTGACGAGCCAACGCTTTACCCACTAGGCTACCCCACCGCTCCTTACTTTAAGTGAGTCTGAACTTTTGATGGGTAGTAGTCTCCAACAGATACAGTGTCAAATGATTCAAAGGTTGTATTTGTTCTGTTTTCCTAAAGGAGTGATTGTTACCCAGAAACCGGTGCAAACGAAGCTTCCTGTCTGTCACGTGGCTGCTGCTGGAAAAGCACAAACGTGAAGGGCGCCCCTATTGTTTTCATCCGACAGGGGAGGATTACTCTGTACAAAAAGTGATAAACTATGGCAAGTCCGTGCTGTTGTCGAGAAAACGACATACACACTGGCCCAATGACGTAATGGATCTACAGGCTGACGTGGTCGAGCAAACTGGCAGTAGACTCCAAATCAAGGTATTGTGTATATATGGCAGACCGTGCCAGATTGCTTCTCTTTAGGGCTTTGTTGCAATGATGGTCAACGTACCTGTTGTATCTGCAGAATTTATGCCAAGCACTGATTAATGTCCTTCGTTGTCCCAAACTATACTTGTAACTTGAGATGTAACATATGCTACATTTGGGATTACGCTTTTTGAGTAAAGTACAGATTCTAGTCATTTTGTTGGGTCGAATCCCATCCGGGATTCGAACCCACGCCCTCAGAGTCTGGCACCTAATCGCCACTACACAAAGTCAGCCGTCTAACCCGTTTAACCACCTCGACTTTTACACAAATGGAAGTCGGACAATTAGTAGTCTAGACTGCGGACTTTGTGTACCCCTCAGATAAGTGTAAAGTGGCACGGCTCCCACGGCCGAAAGCTATGATTACACAATGCCATTTAGAAAGTGGTCAAATGTAACGTATGATACAACTGACCACTTTCTAAGTGGCATTGTGCATGGCATTGTGTAATCATATACTTGAGGTGTAATATCAAATGGTGACGCTGTCATAATTATCTTTCAGGATAATTTCTAGGTATTACAGTCTCCTTCTTCGTTTTAGATAATGAAATATTCATTAATTGAAATGAATGAGAAAATGCGGGTGCCGCTTGCTCACATTAAATAGCCACATATCTAGACTAGACTTACATATGTACTTGATTGCATAGTGATGGCATCGGGGATTCCTGTCCCACTTATGGTACCGTAACATGCGTCTCTCAATCACAAGATGTTCACAGATGTGTTTGCTGGTTGTGTAACACCCCACTCACCAATAGTCAAGCTGCATGGCGGCGGTATGTAAATTATCGAGTCTAGACAATCCGCTGACCAACATCATGAGCAATTGGGATACGATGACATGTGTCAACCAAGTAAGCGAGTCTTACCACACGATCCCGTTAGTCGCCTTTTACGACAAGCATAGGTTACTGAAGACCAATTGTCATCATTATCTTCACGGTTCTGGTCACTAGTGTTGAGAATTGGTTAAAATCTCATAATTGATGAGGGGGGGGCGGTGGGGTAGCCTAGTGGTTAAAGCGTTGGCTCGTCACGCCGAAGACCCGGGTTCGATTCCCCACGTGGGCACAATGTGTTAAGCCCATTTCTGGTGTCCCCTGCCGTGATATTGCTGGAATAATGCTAAAAGCGGCGTAAAACTCAACTCAGTCAGTCAGTCAGTCATAATTGATGATTGGTTCAGTACTACCGATCAATCATCAAAAATAATTGGTTAACATCATTTATAAAATTTGTAATGCACATAAAAATAAGGTAAAAAACAAGTAGTTCTTTTGGTTTTTGGGGGGCAAAATTTCACATATTTAAAGGATGACTAGTATGTTAGGAACATAAATTTCTTGGAGTCCTTAAGATAAATTCAATAGTGACTTGAAACGAGCTTATAGTGCTTATGAAATGTAACAGACAAAACCAACCATGTGAAAAATACTGTTAATGAAAACAAGTGTTCCAGAATTGTTTGTGTTCGATTATAAGAAATTGTGATCGATTGCTTGGTCGTTTAGTCACTACGACCAATCTTCGATTATTTCAATTAATCGGACCACCACTACTGGTCACAGTTGGAATCCGTAACAAACATATGAAGGACAAGTCATGTGTTCATCTGGTCAAACCGGGAAACATATAGCAAAAGCCTAGACAGGATTAGACATCATTTTGTCCTCCACACGTTTACCATTAAATGATCTCTTGATAATTGGTTACACACTACACAGTCATCTTTGTTCTCGGCAACATTTGCAAATATAACGAAAGTAATAAGCCAAACCGCGCCCAACAACAGATCCTATGATACCTGTGGATATTCTTCAAGTATTACCATAAGTCGTTTCGAAGTTTAAACACAAATGACGGTAACATTGAATATTTATTCCCCTTCGTTGAGCATATTGCTTCTGCAGATACACGACCCGAACAACAAGCGCTATGAGGTTCCTCTACCACTCAACAAGGCATCCGGTTCTACCCGACCCACTGATTACTCATACATCATCAAGCACAATCCTTTCGGCCTCACGGTCACGAGGAAGTCAACGAAGAGTGTTCTGTAAGTTGCAAGTTCTGTATCTCACATACATCAATCCACGTCAGCAAAACAACAAGCTGTTGATAGTTTTGAAGGTTGATACCAACATTACTTCATCATCTTTTCTCAGTGTTCTGTTTAACGTTTGAAGCGGTAAGCGTACCTATGACGTTTGTAATTGTTCCTGTGATAGGTTTGACGTCCGCTTTCCTCCTGATCTTTTCCCAAGCCAAATGCTTTCCTCTGATCTCACTGTGTTCTGACGAAAGTGTGATGCCAGTGCCGTTCCTCTGATCTTTTCCCCAGTTCCTGTGGAACAAACCACAGATCTTACCTAAACAATCTTTCAATATTTGACGCGAGTATTGTACCTGAACGTTCTATAAAATGGTATGGATGACAACTTCATTGTTATAGAATGATGTGGAATTTCGGTATATACACTCTTGCTTGACAAAAGTATAAAAACCTATACCGAAACCACGCATCATAATAAAATAAAGAAGTTGTCATACCTTTCTTATGCCAACTTACATCCTCTTCTACACTGCTAATCAAACAGATGTTGAACGATGTTTTGCAGGTTTGACGCCAGTCTCGCTCCTTTAGTATTCTCCGACCAGATGATACAGATCTCAGTTGGGGTACCTACCACCAACCTGTACGGCATCGGAGAAAACAGGAAGCCGTTCCGGATCCAAGTAGAGCAGAGTCCTGGCTTCTCCCTCTGGGCTCATGATATGATCCCAAAGGTGAATGAGTGATGAAAATATTTGCCTGTGTATGTTACTGAATGACCTGTTCTATGACTGAGTGATAGAATGTGTAAGTGAAGGAGATACCGCCGCTGTTAAAGGTCTTCAACATCGCAAAGTTTCAGATTGATGGTGGGGGAAAGGAGGGAGGGATGCATGAATCAGGTGATGCCACTTTGGTGAAACCAGCGACCACGGGTATAATGCTTATAATCCTTAAAACATAATTGAGGCGACCCGGAATGCGTACATACAATTTCTAGATCGTTTTGGTTCTGGCGTGCTCAACGCACACAACTCAGCACTACAAATATCTGCACGAAATGTTTGTTTATTTGTTGTTCAATGCAGCACTAAGCAATATTTAAGCTATATGGCGGCGTTCTGTAATTAATCAAGGCAATCCAGCTATCAACGTCATGAGCAACGATATGCGCAAACTGGATACGATGACTTGTGTCAGCCAAGTCAGCGAGCCTGACCACCCGGTCCTCTTACGACAAAATGAAGCCCATTTCTGGTGTCCCCCGCCGTGATGTTGCTGGAATGTTGCTAAAAGCGCCGTAAAACCAAACTCAGTCAGTCAGTCAGTCTTACGACAATTTGTTGATAAAGACCAATTCTAACCCGGATCTTCAGGGAATGTTTGTTAGCGATAAAGTCGATTTGTGTGACTGACGGTTGTATTACTGATCCTTTGAATCACTGGATTACCTGAGGTCATGCCCCTCGCTTAAAATAACTAAATCGGGACAGATCATTTTTTATTTCTCGTGGCTCACTGCTTATCGTAAGAATGTCGAGGTGTAATATTTTTCCATATGTTTTCTACTTTGTAGATCAACGCCAATCAGTACGGTAGCCATCCGTTTGTGCTTGGAATAGAACCAAACGGCGACGCCTTTGGAATATTTCTTCTGAACAGTAACGCTTTACGTAAGTACTGACAAGCATGCTGATACAGTTGAGAAGGAGAGATTAATAAGGAAAGGACTATATAGCTGCCGGATATATCATTATGCTTATTGGTAGCATCTTTTTAAATCCACGTTTCTCGTCATTTCAGTTATGTACACATCAAGTTTTTCGAAATTTCAAGCGTTTTTCTCTCGCAAATTCGAATATTATATCGTTATTTCAGTTATTTACTTAATTCCTTTGTCGAAATGTCGAGTTTTCTCTCTCTTTATATTATCGTAATTTCAACGTACAGGTATAGACGTCCTTCCAACCAGTCCTGTGACAATTCGCTATCGAACCCTTGGTGGAATACTTGACTTCTACGTTTTCACTGGTCCAACGCCTGATGACGTTATTGATCAATACTGGGCTTTGATTGGACAACCACCACTTCCGCCTTACTGGTCGCTAGGTTACCACCTGAGTAGGTGGGGCTATGGCGGATCAAGCGGGATGAACGCAACCATTCAGAGGATGAGGAACAAGCAGATGCCATTTGTACGTGACATCTGCTAGTTTTGAAAGCGAATAAGAAGTATATTCTTATTATTACGAGGTGTTTTAGCTATCGAAGTCCGAATTGTATACTAATATTTCACTTACGAATCTTCAACATTACGGATTTCCTCACCGAGTACATCATCTGTCTAAGTGGATAAAGGATTTGCAGCATTCTCAGTACTCCAACAATAGCTCATGGATGCACACCGACTGTCAATCTTTCGGAAATAAGTCTATACACAAATAACTTACTTAAGCACCCCTGCTTTGGTTTGTTTTGGCAATGATAGGCTTTCAACACGTACATACAACCTCTCGTGGTGACCATGATGGAAAAACATGAGTTTTTCTGACCCGCAGCATGGTCCGTGTGATTCTTTGACTCCATGATTGGACTCCATGTTGATTATAAGATGACAATTGCTCATTATTTTATTTTGAAAAAAAAAACCCACTGATTTTCATACAAAAAACATATCTGTACAAGTATGACCCTGGAATGTTTAATGTTGAATTTATTGGTGAATGAGAACATTCAAAATGCCAGTTTGCGTGTCTTGGATGATTCAAGATCAATACCGAGTGTAACCTCCATGTGACTGTATGACAGCCAGCACTATCCTCCTCATACCCCCTATCAGCCTCAAAAGCACCTGAAGGCACAGTCTACGCTATTCCTCGTGCAAAGCAGCTTCCATTTGGGCCAGGTGTTGTACGGGAGTGTCCCGTTATTGCACACGACGCCCACTCATGTATCAAATATGCTCCAAAGGGTTACGATCGGGGCTCATTCAGTCGTGTCAGGGGGTTCTAAACTAAGTTCTTTGTGTATAGGTCGTCTTTGTTACAAGATAACACCTTACCTACATAGCCACTCCATTGTTTCAATCAGGCACATAGAAACATAATAATTTCCAGATATATTCTCTACAATTCAACAACGGTGACATCCAACAGTAATGCCACTCTTAGATAAATTATTCTGCTATAATCACCTTAACATTTACAAGTATAAAGAACGAGTTTCAAAGAACTAATTTTATTTCTTCATAAGGACACCATCTGGAACGACATCGACTACATGGTCAAGGAGATGGACTGGACCTACGACCACAAGCTGTACGGTCAGCTGCCGGACATTGTCAAGGACGTGCATAGCCACGGGGAGAAATACGTCATGATATTGGTAAGCTCGCCAACATATCACACAACGGGGGAAGTTATATGGATATACAACTTCTTTGTTAATAATGTAAACGATGTTTCGATGAAGAAGCTGACACAATTACAAAGCAACATCTAAATGACATTCGAAGAAGTACTTACCAAAGACCATTATTACTTGTCAAGACCATTATTACTTATAAACGACCATTATTACTTATCAAAGATCATTATAACTTGTCACAGACCATTATTACGTATCAAAGACCATTATTACTTATCAAAGTCCATTATTACTTATCAAAGGCCATTATTACTTATCAAAGGCCATTAGTACATGTCAAAGATCATTATTACTTATCAAAGACCATCATCACTTGTCAAAGACCATTATTAATTGTCAAAGACCATTATTACTATAAAACACCATTAGTACTTATCAAACACCATTATTACTTATCAAACACCATTATTACTTGTCATAGACCATTATAACTTACCAAAGACCATTATTACGTGTCAAAGACCATTATTACTTGTCAAAGACCATTATTACTTATCAAAGACCATTATTACTTGTCAAACACCATTATTAATAGTCAAAGACCATTATTACTATCAAACACCATTATTACTTGTCAAAGACCATTATAACTTACCAAAAACCATTATTACTTGTCAAAGACCATTGTTACTTGTCAAAGACCATTATTACTTATCAAAGACCATTATTAATTATCAAAGGCCATTATTACGTATCAAAGACCATTATTACGTATCAAAGACCATTATTACATGTCAAAGACCATTATTACATGCCAAAGACCATTATTACTTATCAAAGACCATTATTATATCTCAAAGACCATTATTACTTATCAGAAACCATTTTTTCTTTTGAAAGACCATTTTTACATGTCAAAGACTATTATTACATGTTAAAGACCATTATTACTTATCAAAGACCATTATTTCTTATTACTAGTTACTATTTTGTTAGGAGCTTTCCGGTAAAATAATGTGCAACCAATTAACTCACCAATCGTCACCATGCGATTCATTTAGTCGACAAGACGACGCCTTATACAGGAGTAGTCTATATAGACCAGTGAACAACTCATAATGTTGAGTTGTTCCACGTAACGATCATAACGATCAAGTTACTATCATAAATGGTTTCTACTGTAGCAAACTTTTCTATGCGTAAGGTGATGTATACCCTGTCTCTAACAAAGACCTCCAGCGTTCCCCAGCTAAACCCCATCCTTACCCCTACCCCAACCATACCCTTATCCTGGAGGATCATCATTAGGATCATTTCAGGATCCCGGTATCAGTAACACACAGCCCAGAGGTCAGTATGCCCCGTATGACGATGGTATAACAGAAGACATCTTCGTGAAGACAGCCGACGGATCTGCTCCTATAGTGGGAGAGGTGGGTCTTCACTGGATACATTCAACTTGGTGATACCTTAAAATTGGAAAGTTAGAATGATCTTTTAAGGCTTTAACACCTAGACGTACCTTATCAAGTTCACAATAGAAAAGTTCAGCCATCCTAAATATCAAAATGGCTTCAAAAACATATATGGTAATAGGCATCACCCGCACCATTCATTTTAAAAAAAACGATTCCAATGTGGGTTTTTGTCAAGACAAAAGATATAAGCAAGATCTCTGTCTGTATGAGAGGAAATGAGATCATGTTCTGTGGATGTGGCAGGTGTGGCCGGGGAAGACGGTGTTCCCAGACTTTACTCACCCTAAGGCTGAATCGTGGTGGCAGAAACATGCTCAGATAATGCATAGCAAACTTCCGTTTGATGGCCTCTGGATTGTAAGTACACAGGAAATACCATAGAGAAAACATAATGACTACGTTGTCATTGCAATCCTTTGGAGGATGTCTGAGGTTGTGTCTTTTACTGGCAAACGAGGATAAGTTGAGCACCGACCTGACAATTGACTCGTATTAGCATGTGTGAGTGCCGCCCACTGGCGCTTGCCATTGTGAGCGAGGGGGTCCCAGATTGTCCGCGATCAAATGTAGTGCGATGGGTGAAGCGCGTTGCCTGTCTCAGCAAACTCCGAGTGCAGGAACGCGCAGAATCAACTTCATCGTCATGCACTAGCCTACATCTGCTGTACCTTTCATAAACCAAATTTGTTTGCTCATTGCCGTGCACGACCTACTTCTGCTACGCATTCTCTGCGCCGGTCCAACTTATCCTTGTTTGCCAGTAGTTGGATTGGTTTTTCGTTGTAAGCAGCAGACGGGGTAAATGTTGAAAACTGAAGAAAAAAATTGTTGTCTGAAAATGAAAAGTAAATCTTTCAGCTGAACACTTTGACGCAGAACGGAAAAGACATGAGTCAAAGGGTGTTTTGACACATCGAGAAACTGTATTTAAGGGGTTAACCTCTGTCTATGTTTTTCCATGTTCTTCATTCTTGCATTTTTCATTTGTTACTAGTCGTTGATATTTTTCCCAGTTTAAAAACCGAATCAGTGTGATGTAGGCATAAACAACACGTTCTTTATCACATACGCAGACCTCATGGCGTTTTTAGGCATATGTTCATCTTCGACGCTTCAGTATAGACGCTGATTATGTGATAAATCGTTACTTGGCCACAGGACATGAACGAACCGGCCAACTTCAAAGCTGGATCTGAGAACGGATGTACCAGCAACTCCCTGGAGAACCCGCCCTACACACCGCGTACGTCAACCTTATGGTATTTTCAAGTGTCTGTATCTAGTACTTTGTTTAGAATTTCCGGGCAGTAATAGAATGGTAACATACTGCTTAATAGCAACTGTTCCTCAGTCCAATCCCAACGTAACTAAAGTCCTTACTAAGTTTTGGGAACAACCAGACACCTGGAACCCCTCACTGGACATATACGGTTGTCTGCACGGAGAGTCTGTCTGTCTCTCTGTCTGTCTTTGGTGTGAGTGTGGGAGGGAGTGGTGTGAGTGGGTGTGGGTGTTTGTGTGAGTGGGTGTGGGTGTGAGAGGGTGTGGTGTTTGTGTGAGTGTTTGTGTGCGTGTGTGTGAGTGTGAGTGTGTGAGGGTGTGGGTGTGGGTGTTTGTGTGAGTGGGAGTGGGTGTTTGTGTGAGTGGGTGGGTGTGTGAGAGGGTGTGGGTGTTTGTGTGAGTGGGTGTTTGTGTGTGGGTGGGTGTGGGTGTTTGTGTGAGTGGGTGAGGGTGTGGATGTGGGTTTCAGTGTGAGTGGGTGTGGGTGTGGATTTGAATACATCATACGTCACAGTGCATCAGACATAGTGCCCATCGTCTCCCACTGATCAGCTTGTGGTTCAACAGACGTGTCTGTTGGGACATGTGAATTTCACTGAAAGAAAAAATTAAAAAAATAATTTCATCTCGTTTTCAGCCTTGGAAGGAGGAAGTATCATTGACAAGACCCTGTGCATGTCAGCTAAGTTCCATGATGGGTTGCATTACAATCTACACAACATGTATGGATACTTTGAGAGCAGAGTCACTTACAAGTAAGTTCCAACAACAGTACCATCTGCCACCAACAGAGCTACATAAAAGCATGTATAGATAGTTAAAATCGAATACATGTATTGATATTGCGGTCGTTTCAGTGTCCTGAAAAGCATCGTGCGGAAGAGGCCATTTGTTTTGTCTCGGTCCACTTTTGTGGGAAGTGGTAATTACGTGGCGCACTGGGAAGGAGACAACTTTGCTGACTGGTCAGACTTGTACTACTCTATTCCAGGTGAGACTTTCACTACTCTATACCAGGTGAGAGTTTCACTACTCTATACCAGGTGAGACTTTCACTACTCTATACCAGGTGAGACATTCACTTCTCTATATCAGGTCAGACTTTCACTTCTCTATATCAGGTCAGACTTTCAGTACCCTATACCAGGTCACACCTGAAACACTGTATACCAGGTCACACTTTCACTACTCTACCAGGCCAGACTTAAACTGCTCTATACCAGGTCAGAGTTTCACTTCTTTACCTCAAGTCAGACTCTCACTACTCAAACTTTAACTACTCTATATCTGGCCAGATTTGTACTACACTATATCAGGTCAGACTTTCACTAATCTATACCGGGTCAGACTTTCACTATTCTATACCAGGTTAGGCTTTAACTGCTCTATGCCAGGTGAGACTTTCAATACTCTATACAAGGTCAGAATTTCACTACTCTATACCAGGTGAGGCTTGCACTACTCTATACCAGGTCAGACTTGCACTAGTCTATACCAGGTGAGACTTGCACTACTCTATACCAGGTGAGACTTGCACTACTCTATACCAGGTGAGACTTTCAATACTCTATACAAGGTCAGAATTTCACTACTGTATACCAGGTGAGGCTTGCACTACTCTATACCAGGTGAGACTTGCACTACTCTGTACCAGGTGAGACTTGCACTACTCTGTACCAGGTGAGACTTGCACTATTCTATACCAGGTGAGACTTGCACTACTCTGTACCAGGTGAGACTTACACTACTCTATACCAGGTGAGACTTGCACTACTCTATACCAGGTGAGACTTGCACTACTCTATACCAGGTGAGACTTGCACTACTCTACACTTGGCCAGGTATACACTACTCTATACCAGGTCAAACTCTATGTCTGACCAGGCATGAACCTTCCATCAAGCCATGTACTGCTCTATACCAAGCGATGCCTGTATACACTCTTAAAAAAAGAAACGCATAGGGATTGAGATTTTTCTATTGCATTTTCATATCGGCAATCGATCTAAAGACTATGTTTATGTTTGAACGATGTGATGTATGTGATTTTTAATGGTAATGTCGCGCAAACGTAACCGAAAAAGCTTAATGTTACCGTTGTCAGCAATTGTGAAGAAAATGTATGACATCCGCGTGCTACACATTGCACGTGAAATGAGTGGAATTCATCAGAAGAGACAATGACTATAAAAGCCCGATATATTTACACCATTGTATCACAAATATTGATGAGGAATGAACGACGCAAAATGCCAAGACTGAATACCGCTGACCGGAACATTGCTGCTGGACGTCTGGAAGCTGGAGAAAGACAGCCTGCCGTTGCACGTCATTATAACGTCCGCCAAGCACAATATCTCGTGTGGGGGCCCGTTATAAAGCATTCAATTCGACGCGAGGTCGCCCAAGAAGTGGACGACCACGAGTGACAACCTCTGCTCAGGATAGGTTCCACCCACGTCATCAGCACGCCACAGACACGGATACAGCAAGACATGTGCCAGGTGCACGTCGAGTATCCGACCAAACGATCCGCAACCGTCTGAGAAAGGCGGGACTTCGAGCGAGACGCCCTATGGTTGGGCCTGTGTTGCGCCGTTTACTTCGACGTCGATGTCTCTGTTGGTGCACCACCGTACAGCCCTGGAATCTGGGGGGGGGGGGGGGGGGAGGAAACTGGTTCAGTGATGAATCCTGCAACGCCATGATGGAAGTCAACGTGTGTACCGACGTAGGAATGAAAGTTACGAGCCCAACTGCGTTCGACAAGTCGATCGCTTCGGTGAGGTGGGTGTTATGATGTGGGGTGCCATAGCATCAACCGGTATGACTGACTTAGTGCTGGTTCAGAGGAATCTGACTGCAAACCGGTACATCAACCAGATTCTTTGTCCACACGCCCGTCCCATTATCATCCGCCAGGGAAAGATCCTACAGCAAGATAACGCCCGATCCCATACGGCACGTGTGACAGTGGCCTACCTAGCCAATGAGAACATTAATGTCTTGCCATGGCCGTTCAGGTCCCCAGACTTGAAACCCATAGAACATCTTTGGCATCAACTGGATCGGCGTGTACGTCAACGTCAAAGACGCTTGGAGAACTTGCAGTGGCGTTACAGGAGGAATGGCGGAATCCAACGTTTCATACGGTCTGTTCCGAGGAGGTGTCGAGCGGTGATAGCAGCTCGTGGTGCTGACACTAGGTACTGACTATAACGCCCCCTGGGGACAATACAGTTGTCAATCTGTGTACGCAATTTTGGCTCACTAGGTTCATTCTGCTATGAGATATGTTCGTTTGAATAAACACAATGTATATCCTGATTGTTTCCCTATGCGTTTCTTTATTTGAAGAGTGTACAAGGTAAGGCCTGTACTACTCTCTACTAGCTCAGGTCGTGTGCTTCTTGATCTCAAATGGACTATACCAGGTCCGATTTGTTTGGGCCTGGACTGGTTTTAAATGGTAAGATATAGTAACGGGTATCTTCTGTCAGATATATACGTTTCCCAAATAAAGTATGCTTTAACTACAGTGACAATGACATCATGGTTCAATATCATTGGCTAATAGCACCTGAATTCGCTTTGCTGTATTCTGTCCCTGAAGCATTAACAGGCAGGCACCAACAACAGTTGACAGAACGTCGAGCACCACATTTTGGAGAAACTGACAGTGATCGTTATTTCAAACCATTGCGATAAATTTCTCTGGTTCGACAGCAGGTAACATCCCCTGTGAAAAATCCGTGAATTAAATTACTTACTTTTTCCTTAATACAATTAGCGTGGTTAATATGAAAACCATCTTATTCGCCTGCCTCCGTGACGTTTAACCTGAATGGCGTTTTGCAGTACAATAGGACAGCTATTTCCTTATCCAGGAGATCATCGTGTCTTCATCTCATTTGTCAGAGGTTCTGAGCTTCAACATGTTCGGCATCCCCTTTACCGGGGTGGACATCTGTGGGTTCAGAGGGGATTCGGACGAAGAACTGTGTACAAGATGGCTCCAACTTGGCGCCTTCTACCCTTTCATGAGGTCACACAACCAGAACGTTGCGCCGGTAAGTAATGTTAGCAACGAGGAGAGTTCTATGGATATACAACTTCTTTAATATAATATCAGCGACGTTTCGGTGTAGCTACTAACTCCGTTATCAAGCAAATGATAACGGATGAGCATCATGTGCTTGATAATGGTGTTAGTAGCTACACCGAAAAGTGGTAGTAGTAAGAGGAGAGGTGAAATAGGGTTGAACGTCGTACTTGAGAATATTTCGCTCATGTGACGACGTGCATGTGTGTGTATATGTGGCTGCTTGTACTAGCCCAGACTTAAGCTGGTTTTATAGTGCTAGCTCCCGGAGATACCATACAGCTGGAATATTGCTGTGTGCGGCGTAAAACTAAACTCACTCACTAACTCAGTTACTTGGTCCTATGGGAAAGACATGACATCTAAATGGTGGCGGTCTGTAAAAAATGGAGTTTGGACAATAATACCAGTGATTGACATTCCGTGCTTTGAACCACGCAGTTACTCATATTCATACTAGCCTAGTGGTTAAAGCGTTCTCTCGTCACGCCGAAGACCCGGTTCGATTCCCCACATGCGTACATTGTGTTTATAACTTTCATGTCAGTATTGGTGAAGTTGTCATGATGACTTCTTCATGAACATGACTTAGTATTAAAACATTCCACAACAAGCCAACACACTCACACGTGATTTAATACTATTTATTACAAAATTGTGGTTTGCAGACTCTTTGCTTCCCACAATTTTGTATGTAAAATAACAACAACAAAAATAAATAAATACCGGCTCTGTGTCTCTGTCACATTTTTGACAATTGGTCACCTTCAGTTTCAATAGAAAACACTTACTGTGTGTAAAGGTTGAACACGAAACAGTTGACAGGTAGATATGTTTTAGTTTTAACAACATGAAGATGTCAACAGCCTCAACTGATTTGAAGAAGACAATAATCTTTTGTCACTGTCAAAGTATCAAGAAATCTCACAAATAAACCTGTCAGCAGATAACTCAGTGACTCAAGTTGAAAGATGGGTTAACATAATTGGCAAATGGCAATATTTTACATTAACTCTGGTTTTACTCAAATAGTGAGATGAAGGCAGATAATAGTTCATGTTTCATCTTGGTTTCCAACTTTCCAATTCTTCTTTAGAAACCAGAGTCTGTCCACATGTGCAGATTTAAGAGTCTGCTAGTCCATCTATCAGTTGTGAGTGAAACATTGTCAGCACAGGAAAGGTCATTCCAGACCTCAGTCTAATACAACATGGGCAAGGCAGAATCTGAGAAATACTGTCGCGAGGGGATTGTGTAACGTGGTTCCAAAACTCTCAACGTGTTCCTAAACCCATCATTTTGGACAAATCTGAATGACCGCAAATCTTTCACAATAAATTCAAGAATGGCTGCCGAAATGTCTCTTGCTCACTTACGATGAAAGTAGAGTAGTGTTGTCATTTAGCACTGTCAGGGTTGTTTGTCTCTACCCTTGGGGCTAGCATCAAGACCGTGCCTCCGAAGGACATGATCAGTCAAATTGATTGTATTTCGACAATACTTCAATATCAGCTTACACTTCCGACATGCAACTCGCTTCTTGTCCACTTTATCTGTTTTTACAAACCCAAAGTGTTCCCATACAGTTGACTTAGCTGACGTATTGTTTACGATTTCAAAATTCGCAAAAGCCCCGCTGTCTGCTTGAGCTGACAATTTGGTAAGGGGGATAACTCTACACACCTCCTTATATCACTGCAAAATGCTGTCGCTTACAGCAAATAGAGATTAATCCCAATCGGGGGTAGGACTGTAGGACAGAACATGTTTTCAAGTTACCGTTATTTATAAATCAAATTAAAGCGATAGTATTGATAGTTGATGCAACTATCGATGCATTGGATCGTCATTTCATACACCTATCGATAAAATACTATCGGGGGGCTCACAATCGCGATCAATCGAAAGTTCGTTGCATCGTTACACCTTTAGTGTGAAGCCCATTTCTGGTGTCCCCCGCCGTGATATGGCTGGAATATTACTAAAAGCGGCGTAAAACCAAAGTCACTCACTCACTCATTCCATACTGTGTGGATCAATGCTCATGCTGTCTGGTCCATGACTACCATCATATAACTGAAATATTTCTGAAGGCAGCCTTAAACAAAACTAGACAAAAAATTTGCCTGACGATTGAGAATTTGATGTAGTAACAAAACTATTCAAATATTTTGCCTGACGATTGATAATTTAAAGTAGTAACAAAACTACACAAATGTCTTTCATCTGTAAGGCAACATCTATTTTCAACTTCAGCATTGGTTTCGATAGCTTGAAACAAACTCTCCAAAGCCAAATATCGCCCTGTTGCATGAATGCAGATGATGGAATGCCCAGGAAACCAAACTGTGCACTTTTGTTTCAGGACAAAGATCCTGCAGCAATGAGATTTAGTTCTGCTGCGCATGACCGGAACCGCGAAGCTCTGAGACTCCGTTACCGCCTTCTACCTTTCCTGTACTCCTTGATGTCCCGGAAGAAGGCAGTGGCCAGGCCTCTTGTCTTTCAGTGCGTTTGTCAAACTGAATGAAAGAATGTGCGAGTGATATTTGTACATGCGTCAGCCATCTGTACTCGATCGGCATAAGGGCATCCCTGTTTAATTAATGTGCATAGGGCAGACAGGGTTAGATTATATCAATATTCTGCGCCATCTTTGTGGTATGGTAGACACTAGGCTAGGTCATACATGCATGATAACAATCCAATCCCCGAAATTGAATTTTTCCAAGTAGGAAGGATTACGGAGCATCTGTTCTGCATCAACTAACTCAGTACTAACTCATCTGACTACACAGTAACACTGGGCAGTCAGGCATGTACTGTATATGGGAACGTTCATACTTTATGATCCCCCACCCCCTAAAATTCATGTACAAAGTAAGTCACCCAACTGCTTGACACGTACAAAATCAATTACACCGCCCCCTAATATTTAGTACATGTGTACGAAATTTATGACCCCCTACCTCCCCAGAACAAAATGGTTGATCCCCCTCCCCTCGCCATATATGATGATCGGTCCTTAATGGGTGGTTTCTTCAAAGTTGTATTTTGATAATAACCTTTAGATAACTCTTGTGTAACCCAGTTGTAATAATGATGATGATGATGATAATGATAATGGACCTTTTGTCCAGTTGATCATAATCATCAAATAGCTGTGGTGTAAATAGTGCTGGTCATATGCATATAACCGATAATCGGAGCTCAGTAATCGATAACCTGTGCAATAACAGGACACTGTCATAACATTGTGCAAACGAAACTGGCACAGATTAAGACTACGATCAGAATACTCTCTGTTTGAGAAACGCATGTGAGCATGTTGTTTACATTGCAGTTTACAAGTTACAACTCAGGAAACTGCTTCAGTTGTTTATGTCGTTTTATAACAAACATAACATAACAATAAGAAAGATACTTTCCAAATTTTAATGTGATGTTTCACGTTTTTGTGAATATCAAATATTCTCCCGAGCCAATCTACAAATTGCTGACAAGCGAGATCGATCGACTTACCGATGATGATGATGATGATGATGACGACGACGACAATGATAACGACGACGACGACGATGATTGTGATGATGATGACTACGACGATGATATTGATGACGACGACGACGATGATGATGATTGTGGTGATGATGACGACGATGACGACGACGATGATGATGATGATGATGATGATGATGATGATGATGATGATGATGATGATGATGATGATGATGATGATGATGATGATGATGATGATGACGACGACGACTACGACGACAATAATGATGATGATTTACTACTGTTTTCCAGGTACCCTACAGATTCCACAACCTACAGCATAGATAAACAGTTTCTTTGGGGAGATTCACTGCTGATAACTCCCGTATTAAACAGGGTAGAGTCTGTTCGTATGTTGTCAGTTCCTAAGATTGTACGGATGCATAGGAAGCAACATTCCCCCAAACATGGAAATCGCCACCAATTCTTTTTGTAATACTGTTTGTGTCTATCTGGTTCGCTTCGGAATCTTTGCTTCATAAACCCTCGTAAGGCCATATATAAAAATATTCCTATTTCTGACTACCGCCCAACCCAAACATTCGACCTGACCCTAAATTTATTTTTTTTAACTCTCAAATTGTGCATGAATTTTTCACACTTCTAAGTTTTGATTTTCTGTCGGAGAAAAGGTGTAAAGTTCCACAGAAATCAAGAGTTTTTTACATAAAATATAATAAAATGTAAAAATAAAATCCCGACCCATATTTGTGGAAAATGCGATGAGGAACAATAATATTTTTTCTATGAGGCCTGAGGGTAAGTGCTTCCAACACCATGTCTATAAACGAAAATCATAGCATAGATATCACTGTGTTGACTCACTGAAACGTTAATCGTAAAGTCCGTTACACTGAATCATGTTGCCATCACAGAACTTTCAAACATTCAGAGTTGTATGTGATAGTAATGTTGACGCATTTTGCAATACATAAAAATATATGTGTTTAAAAATTAAAAATACATATCAGTTGCGTCATTGTCACGGTAGTCGTTATCCTCGTTGGCCCCTATATGGTTGGGAACTGCTGTGAAAATAGAAAAAAACAACAACATTTCCATTTGGCTAATCTCATTACACAAGGTGCACTCTGTAAGCGCTAATATTACTTCCCCGGTAAGTGGAACAGTGTGCATTTGATCTTTCATTTTCAGCTACTTGGTGTGTTAATAGAGTGTTGTATGTTTACGATAGTGATATTTTGAAATTATTCGTACTTGTAGTAACCTTTCGAAGCAGCCGTTTTTCCTCCATACGACTTCACAACGCAATGATGCAAGGATATACAAATGCAAATGCATTAAAAACGCAACGGTAAGGTATTTTTGGAGCTTACAAAGGGGTAGCATACGTTGAATAACTTTATCAATTCTCGTGCACAGGGACATACCACAGTTAATGCCTACTTTCCACAAGACACGTGGTACGATTTCTTCAGTGGGGCGGAAGTGTCCAAAACAGGTCGATGGACAGTTGTCAGCGCACCACTGGACAAGATCAATGTCCACATCAGAGGGGGCAGCATAGTCCCGACACAGGTGCCCGATGTCAATACACAGAAGAGGTAGGCTTATTGTGAAAATCATGTGCACGATGTGAATACTTTGAAAATGCTTGTTCAAGGTGAGAAACATGCGTCTGAGCGGAATACTTTAAACAAGGTATGCTTACAATGATAAACACGTGCGAGATGTCAATACACAGACAAGCTAGGTTTTCAATGATAAACACGTCCCGATGTCAATAAACAAAAATGACATCCTCAAAGTCATAAACATGTGCCCGATGTAAATACTTAGTAAAGGTATGCTTATATGGATAAAACGTGCCCGATGTGAATAGTTGGGACAGGTATATATACTTATATAGAAAAAACGTGCCCGATGTGAATATTTAGAAAAAGTATGCTCACAGTGATAAACACGTGCCGGATGTGAATACTTAGAAAATGTATACTTATATAGATACAACGTGTCCGATGTGAATACTTAGAAAAGGTATGCTTATAGTGATAAACACGCGCCCGATGTGAATACTTAGAAAAGGTATGGTCACAGTGATAAACACGTGCCCGATGTGAATACTTAAAAAAGGTATGCTTATAGGGATAAACACGTGTCCGATGTGAATACTTACTAAAGGTATCCTTATAGGGATAAACACGTGCCCGATGTGAATACTTAGAAAAGGTATGGTCACAGTGATAAACACATGCTCAATGTGAATACTTAGAAAAGGTATGGTCACAGTGATAAACACGTGGTCCATGTGAATACTTAGAAAAGGTATGGTCACAGTGATAAACACGTGGTCCATGTGAATACTTAGAAAAGGTATGGTAACAGTGATAAACACGTGCCCGATGTGAATGCTTAGAAAAGGTATGGTCACAGTGATAAACACGTGTCCGATGTGAATACTTAGTAAAGGCATCCTTATGGGGATAAACACGTGCTCGATGTGAATACTTAGAAAAGGTATGGCCACAGTGATAAACACTTGCCCGATGTGAATACTTAGAAAAGGTATGCTTATAGGGATAAACACGTGCTCGTTGCGATTACTCAGAAAAGATACGCTAACAATGTCCTATGTGAATGCATGGATAAGGTGTATATATGTTCAGTGTTAAACACTTGCCTGATGTTAGGGCAACCAACGAGATCGGGCGCCCAGGCTCGCAGACTTGGTTGACACATGTCATCCCAGTTGCGTAGATCGGCGCTCGTGATATTGATCACTGGACCGTCTGGTCGGTAACCCCCCATTACTCCTACAAGCTACTACCCCTACAGCTTATAACAACATAGTTTACACTCTGTTGCACTGTTAATCCACTGCCTGTTACCTATTCCACACAATGGACTAATCCACTTAAGAGACATCACAACACACAACTAAAAGGTTGAGAGAATGATTTTAATGAAAAGTGATCATCATTTGTCATCATCAAGATTTTAATCAGAATTAACAATAATTCGTCATCATGATTCTTTGATGGACATTAACAATTAATTGTTAACATTCAATGTTAACATAGTCATTTGTGTCAAGTGTTTCAGTCTATGAACATTCAGTGTTTCAATCTATCCCAGCTTAAGCAGATAGCCGACGGCGTCCAAGAACTGAAGAGTTGATTTCTGTCCAAGCTCAAGCTGCTCCTTGAGTCTACACAGGCGATTGTCAATCTCCCTGAAGACTCGCTTTCTGCTTCTTGTCGCAGCACCAAAGTCTATTTGTGAAATCTTCACCCTCTCAGCATGTTCAATTCTCCTAATGACTTCTACTAATCTGTATGTGTTCGGATGCCTGTGTGGAATTTCACGGTTCAGTCGGTTGTGAAAACCTTCTAGATTGTTGTTTGTCCTCGGCCCAGTTGTCAGGTTGTGGTTCCACAGGGGAAGTAGAAATCTGGCTGTGTCGTCGACCCAGGTTGTCACGATGTAATCGTTGAAGTCGACTGCTCTTGGGAGTAGAGGTAGCCGAGCTGCTCTCCTGATCCACTTGGTGACTTCGGGGTTTTCTTTCAACATTACACAGACCAGCCATGTTGATGCCATGTTAGTTTGTTGTCAACAGCTATATACTATACCGAACTATCTCAATTTACTTTCGCGTCTCACCTTCTCATTTCCCTCCACTTCTCAATAATACTGTGTATCTTTTATCAGGGCACTAAAACAACTTAATTTCAACATTTAGCAACCTACACATTATCCAATTTGTAAAATTGTTCTACTCACTAGAGGTTTATCTTTCATCATGAAACTAAAACAACTTTTAGCTAATCCCAAATTTCCTTGACACAAAACACTAAAGAACAGTTTAATCCCTCCCTTGATCTCATCTGTATACTCTATGCAGTAATCTCTCTTTGGGTCAGTTCATTATGCCAGACAGGTAAATGCCGTGTGTTGTTTTAACTAATTGTAGGGGTACTGGGCTGTAGGGGTAGTGGCATTTAGGGGTTATGGGATACAACCGTCTGGTCCAGACTCGATTACTTACAGACCGCCGCCATACAACTAGAATATTGCTGAGAGCGGCGTTAAACAACATCCAACTAACCACTCAAATGACGAGTGTGTGGAGGGATGGAAGTTACAGTGTGTCCACTTGTCATAGATAAACACCTGAATTTAACAAGACTGATCGTGACATGATGCATAACAAATATCCTGTACCTTCATTAATTCTTCTTGCAAGCCGACGGAACGACTTTGGTCTGGTTGTTGCCCCGTCCGCCCGGAAGACTAGTCAAGGTTTCTTGTACTGGGACGACGGCGAGACCATTGGTGAGGTGTCCATTTTGTCTCAACGTTTATGAATAACGTCACTGTAAATTACATAACGACCTGCCTCATTACACTGCCTCGCAAGCAAAAGTATACCCCATATGCATTTATGGTAGCTCAGTTGAAAGAAACAAGAGTGAGTGAGTTGGAATTTATGGCGGTTGTAGAAATATGACAGCAATATCACGGCGAAATCACCAGAAATGTGCTTCACACACTGTACCCCATGTGAGGAATGGAACCCGGGCCTTGGGCGTGACGAGCGAACGCGGTAAGCACTGGCCTACCCCACCATCCCGACAAAAACAAGAAACTACTGTACAATATTGCGATGAGTGTGAAACTGTGTATCCGCTTTTGACCTTATGAGTGCAGTATTGCGGGATTTTACTTCATTAGTTAAGTTTACATTACATGTATTGTGTTTTTGTCAAATCCAATGTTCGTGCGTGTACTTTCTTTTATTGGCATATTCCCTTAGACGTTAGTCGACGCTACAACATAGTCAGAATCCGAGAATCAGAAATTATAAAATAAAAGTTTTTCAGTTGAGTTACTGAGGTACATGTTATGTGTCGAGGCACTGGTCGAATCCTATCCATGTCATTATCTACTGATTACTTATTCGAATCTCTGAGGGGTGGTGGGATAGCCTAGTGGTTAAAGCGTCCGCTCGACACGTGAAAGACCCGGGTTGGAATCACCACATGGATACAATGAGTGCAGCCAATTTCTGGTGGACCCCATCGTGATATTGTTAGAATATTGCTAAAAGCGGCGTAGCGTTAGGTCACTCACTCACTGGAATTTTTGTGATTCTTCGTGTGTCAAAGCCATACCCATTTTCAGGTTGTCGGAGTTGGATGTCTGAGTTCCCCACTAATAAAGCATGAACCCAACACGCTGTCACATAACTGATATATACTGTTAAAATATTAAATTCAAACACCATATACATGTTAGAATGCTAAAGTTGAATAAAATGTCAAAACTCATATCTGCATGTTTCTTGCCAGATGCGCCCTTTAACCATATTCAGTTCAATCTGGATGGGGTACGTATTTAACTGTTGGAAAGGTCATCTCACCCGAATTTCTCTTGATATGAAAGTTCAATACGAGTTGATAGAAATTTAAGACACTGGATCTCACAGGAGCATTTTTAACTTTATAGGTTATTGGTGTATGTAATATCAAAAGACACAAAATCAATATTTTTTTGCTAACGTATTCCATTATTTCGTTTTATTTCATTTGTAAAAAGTAATAAATAGGGACCCTAGCCACAACACGTTTGCAGCACTAATCCATTCACAAGCCTATGGTAAAGTACAGAGTTTTGAAAGGTCGTAACGTTACGAACGTTCAATCTCTGCCGGAAGCAAGGTTTATATATGCTTTGCATTGCAGTTTGATGTGCAGTATTTGGTGGGCACGTCAGAAACTATTCTGTCTCACAGCCGCGTTATGTTCCCTACTGCCCAGCCCAAAGCGATATATACATGGGCGATTGGGGTATGCTCAGTGAGAATTATCAAAATAAACGAGGAGGGATTTAGACAGAGCTATAATTTGTCTCACAGACATCGAAACGGAACATTACTGTGACTCCGTAGGGACCTTTCTGCAGTGTTAAAGCCATAAATGAAGCAAGTATAGATTTCCTATAGGTTCTGAATCTCCCATATTTCTGGGGCTCCTTTTCAGTTTAAATGGGATTACCGTACTTCCTTTAATAAGCCCCGGACCTCTAATAGGCGCCAGGGTAAAACGGCTGATAAAGTAGTAACCGCCGGGCCTCTAATAAACGCCGAGTTGTCGGGGAGCAGTTGTCCGGGGTGCAGTTAACCTGATACCCAATAAACGCAGGGCCTTTAATAAGCCCCGGGTCTGGAAATTCGTTGAAAAAATAAGCGCCAAGGCGCTTATTACAGGAAATACGGTATTTGTTATTATCAGAATTATATATATTCAGAGTCAAAGTGCTAGCCTGAGCAGAAATCTGTGTTTGTTGAATCTAATTCCGTTTCGCATGTTCGCAAGATTTCTGTTTCTTGTATTCACCTTGAATAACCCCATACCTCACCTTGGTTACAGGAGAGACTGACATCCACTGTCAAGTCTAGCAACTACGCCACGACAATGACGTTAGGCAGCGTCGACGTGTACGGAGTGGCAATAGCACCAACAACTGTCAGAGTCAATGGCATCGGCGTCGCTCACACCTATGACAGCGTTAACAAGGTGAATCAACTCATACTTGTCGACAGCCCCGTGAATATCCGGGTTACAATTAGTCTTCAGTAACCCATGCTTGTCGTAAGAGGCGACTAACGGGATTGGGTGGTCAGGCTCCCTGACTTGGTTGACACATGTCATCGTATCCCAATTGCTCAGATCGATGCTCATGCTTTTGATCACTGAATTGTCTGATCAAGACTTGATTACTTACAGACTGCTGCATACTATATGGCATAGCTGGAATAACTGTGTTAAACAAGGTGAGATGAGGTGAAATTGGGATTTACGTCGTGCTTGAGAATATTTCGCTCATAAAACGACTTGAATGCGTGTGTATGTGTATGTGCGGCTGCTTGTACTAGCCCAGACTTAAGCTGGTTTTATAGTGCTAGCCCACTGAGATACCATGCCGCAGTGAAGCATGAATACCCAACTCAGACACAGTATACTGACTCCGAGGCGACCAGTCCTTGTTGTACCCATTAATGCCGAGCGCCAGGCAGGGACCAACAAGTACCATATTTTAACGTCTTTTGGGATGACGCGGTCGGGGATAAAACCCGCGACCTTCCGCTCTAACCACTACACCACGGAGGCGCTCTGTTAAACAACAAATAGCAAGAATACATGTCACTTTTATGGATAACAACTTCTTTTCTATTCTTAACACGACGTCTCAGAGCTAATTCTTGCTCCTTCATCAGGTGAATGCTGTGTCAGTACAAAAATTGAATATATATAGATAGAAACATGTTTACACAATACAATTAGGGAGAATGTACAAAGATAACATTATAATTACGAAGCCAATTAGATTGGATTAATGCACAAAAATAACAGTGTATTGTAATGACAAAGCCAACATGTACAAAGATAACATTATAATTACGAAGGGGAGTGTGTTGATGTACAAAGATAACAACTGTATTGTAATGACAAAGCCAACAGTGGGAGTGGGGTGTGTTGATGTACAAAGATAACAACTTAATAAGAAGCCAATGATAACAACATGATAGGAAGCCAATTAGATAGGATTAATGTACAAAGATAACAATGTAAGGATGAGGCCAAGAGATGATAGGACAATAGAGTATATTCCTCGCTAGGTAGACAAAGCCACCTCAGTCAATGTCAACTGGGCATCGTCGGTGGAAAGCCGCCGTTGCACCTGGAAACGGAGCGGACAGCGAGTGCCGATCATTCAGTGGTAACTCGCATGTAAGCCATACAGGCTTAAATGGAAAATACCACACGATTTTTAAAGCGATATTAGCTTTAGGGAAATGCAGTAAAAAGCATTGACTCGAGTTAACCCAACTGACATACCCCGTTGTTCTCCCAGAACGACTCCTTTCCCACACGGCGTCGTCGTGCTTCATGGGAAGACAAATCACGATAGAACGTATCTTCCCTGCATCTGAAAGAATAGTCAGCAGAGAATAAGTATCTCTCAGTGGTAATTTGCATACAAGGGCATCATTTTTTTAATGTGTTTTACGTAGCAAATGAAACATACAACTTTATGGAATCAAGAACATTATCCAGATTATTTTGTCTTTATTAAGTGTTTTTTAAAGTTTTTTTCCCCGACTGACCGACCCATGTTTAGAATTTTGTGGCCACGTGAAACACAAATTGTTTGATCGGCATTCTAGAAGTTGGTGAGTCAACAAATGAAGCATACAACTTTGTGGATGACAACTTCTGGTTTATTTGCGTTGAGCAACGTTTCAATGTAGATTCTTACATCGCTAAAAGCTTATAGCAACGTTTCAATGTAGATTCTTACATCGTTATCAAGCTTATAGCAACGTTTCGATGTAGATTCTTACATCGTTATCAAGCTTATAGCAACGTTTCAATGTAGATTCTACATCGTTATCAAGCTTATAACGTTTTTGATGTAGATTCTACATCGTTATCAATTATAGCAACGTTTCGATGATTCTTACATCGTTATCAAGCTTATAGCAACGTTTCAATGTAGATTCTTACATCGTTATCAAGCTTATAGCAACGTTTCAATGTAGATTCTTACATCGTTATCAAGCTTATAGCAACGTTTCAATGTAGATTCTTACATCGTTATCAAGCTTATAGCAACGTTTCAATGTAGATTCTTACATCGTTATCAAGCTTATAGCAACGTTTCAATGTAGATTCTTACATCGTTATCAAGCTTATAGCAACGTTTCAATGTAGATTCTTACATCGTTATCAAGCTTATAGCAACGTTTCAATGTAGATTCTTACATCGTTATCAAGCTTATAGCAACGTTTCAATGTAGATTCTTACATCGTTATCAAGCTTATAGCAACGTTTCAATGTAGATTCTTACATCGTTATCAAGCTTATAGCAACGTTTCAATGTAGATTCTTACATCGTTATCAAGCTTATAGCAACGTTTCAATGTAGATTCTACATCGTTATCAAGCTTATAGCAACGTTTCAATGTAGATTCTTACATCGTTATCAAGCTTATAACAACGTTTCAATGTAGATTCTTACATCGTTATCAAGCTTATAGCAACGTTTCAATGTAGATTCTTACATCGTTATCAAGCTTATAGCAGCGTTTCAATGTAGATTCTTACATCGTTATCGCTTATAGCAACGTTTCAATGTAGATTCTTACATCGTTATCAAGCTTATAGCAACGTTTCAATGTAGATTCTTACATCGTTATCAAGCTTATAGCAGCGTTTCAATGTAGATTCTTACATCGTTATCAAGCTTATAGCAACGTTTCAATGTAGATTCTTACATCGTTATCAAGCTTATAGCAGCGTTTCAATGTAGATTCTTACATCGTTATCAAGCTTATAACAACGTTTCAATGTAGATTCTTACATCGTTATCAAGCTTATAGCAGCGTTTCAATGTAGATTCTTACATCGTTATCAAGCTTTGAAACGTTGCTCAACGCAAATTTATCAGAAGTTGTCATCCATAAAGTTGTATGTTTCATTTTCAGACAAAATTATCTGGATAATGTTCTTGATTCTCATGTATTGTAATTCTTATTACAATTTCTCGTGTTCTTTGGACTTGTGGCAGCGACTGATTATGAGAAAAACATTTCATATGACGAGGCGGTACGTTTTAGGTTTGAGTCGGCGGTGTTGGAATGAAAAAAAATGTCTTTTGGGGGGATAGGCAATAAGATTAGAAGGGTCGGTCGGGCGATGAGAAACACAAAAAATAAAAATGCTGCCCTAACATACGTAAGCTTAAATAAACATGACCACGCGATTTTTTAAGTGTTATTATCTTTAGAGTAATGCAGTAAAAACCGAGTTAAACGAAGTGTTTCTCCTTAACTGACATACCCAGTGGTTTTCTCGAAACAACCCATTTCGTGCTTCGTGGGAAGGAAAATCATGGTTGAAGGTATCTTTGAACTTTGATGTAGTCCCAGTGCAGATTAGAATGCTCCTTGGGTGGGTGGGTAGCCAGGCGGTTAATGCGTTCACCTGTCACGCCGAAGAGTATTCGATTCACCACATGAGTACAAATGCTGGAAGTCCATTTCTGGTGTACCCCACCTCGATATTGGTCTCATATTACAGAAAGCAGAGGAGAAATTGTCAGATTATTATATTAACCGGGCGCTTTATCGCACTGTCCAAATATCGAAAGAAGCGGAGATAAAATCTCTATTTAGTCCAAGCAATACGTCTAAGTATTGTCGTCATATAATCCCAGGCTATTTGGGACAGAGTGAGTGAGTGAGTATTGTTTTACGCCGCTTTTAACAATATTCCAGCAATATCACGGCTAGGAACACCAGAAATGGGTCTCACACATTGTATCTATGTGTAACATCGAACCCGGGTCTTCGGGGTGGCGAGCGACCGTTTTAACCACTAGGTTAACCCACCGCCCTTATATTTGGGACAGAAGAAAAGATATGACAAGTATTTTTTTTATCATTTTAACACAATTCTCACATAAAACATTATAATATCTTTAATTCACGTATACATCTTACATATGTAACGAATTTGCCATTGTGTATAGCTGTTTCGCAAACACATGGTATCATCCCTATTTGATTGAGATTCAACGATACATGTTCATTGTAGCTAATGACTTCAATCACTGGATTGTCTGCCCGGACTTGGTTGTAGTTTATTGGATTACAGATACTCCGTTGTGCAGCAGTAAAACTGCTCAATGGGTTGTCAAACAAACTACCCACCCCCTGTCGCACCACCCCATCCATATACTGTCGGAATTGTACAATCGACTCTGCTTTTACAGACATTTCTTTTGGATGGATTTTTATAAATCAACTATGTCCCGAGTGAAAGAATTGTACCCATATATATACATCTTTACCTATGAAATTATAGTTGTTTCTCCCTTTAGTTTATTTTTTTCTAGATTTTTCTCCTAACTCCTGTCCCTTGATGGTTTGTATAATTAAACTTTGTTTATTATAAATCTATACCCTGTTTTAGTCACGATATGGCAATAATACTAAATTACAATTTTAACTCACTCACTCATTTTGTATCAAAATCTGTGATATTCCAGTCATGTTACTGTCTTTCGTTGACAATTATTCATGTAGTCTAGGATTGTTCTGATAAATCTATGGTTTTCGTAGTCGCCGTATTACTGAAATACTGCCCATACTGCCCAATTTTCACTCACCCGCCTAACTACTTCTGATGGGGCGGTGGGGTGGCAATGTGGTTAAAGCGTTCGCTCGTCACGCCGAACACCAGGGTTCGATTCCTGACATGGTTACACGGTGAAGCCATTCTTATGTTCCCACAGTGATATTGCAGGAATGTTGCTAAAATCGGCGTAAAACCCAACTCACTCACTCTGATGGTATTAGTCGGACTTACGGGGTTTCACTGTTTTCCCACTGATTTATGTTTCAGGTTTTACACGTCACCAGATTGAAGGTCGACCTTCTGAAGCCCTTGATGATGACATGGTAGACGGCGTATATGATCCAGTAAAGTCCAGATGTGGAGCGAATATGAATATATTATTCTGTGATGTTGATTCCTGTTTTGTTTCATATAACAGTTATATCTTCGTTGTACTTTTAGTCGTCCATTAAACCTTCAACACAAAATCAAAACGACAAACCAAGAAATTAAGGTAATGCAAAAATGGATGTTTGAGCTTGTGAGCAAATTATAAAAAAGACATTTACATATTAATGAATGAAACAATGATCGAGGGAACGAGAAAATGCTTGTAAATTTCAAGTTTTTTAATGACATTTGATGTAACTAGAAAATGCTCAAAGCAACGAGATTTTAATCGAAATTTCAAGTTTAACAGAAACTTGAAATAACGAGAACATAATCGGAGCAGCAACAAATTTCGCAGACAAACATATTTCATGCCACAAAAGTGGAATGGAATGAGAAACAGTATTTAATGTTCAGCATTTGTCCTCTCACGGCCTGACCGCCCGGAGAGCGGAAGGTCGCGGGTTCGATCCCCGACCGCGTCATACCAAAAGACGTTAACATTTGGTACTTGTTGGTCCCTGTCTGGCCCTCGGCATTACTGGGTACAGTAAGGACTGGTCGGCTCGGAGTCAGTATAATGTGTCTGAGTTGGGTATTCATGCTTCACTGCGGCATGGTATATCAATAAGCTAGCACTGTAAAACCAGCTTAAGTCTGGGCTAGTACAAGCATCCACATACACAAACACACGCATGCACGTCGTCATATGAGCGAAATATTCTCCAGCACGACGTAAAACCCAATGTCACCTCACCTCACCTGTCACGGCCTCCTTACTTGTTGTAAGCAAGTGTGCCCAAATTGACAAGTACATCGTAATTCGGGAAGATCGCCTCTCTTGTTTCGATAAAGATACGATTTGGTTTCGAACCCAGGAAATTCCCTTGAATGCACTTAAGACAATAATCGTTTCCTTCAAGTTGACCCGTGAATCAAGGTTAGAATTGGTCTTCAGCAACCCGTGCTTGTCGTAAGCGGCGACTAACGGGATCGGGTGGTCAGGCTCGCTGACATGGTTAACACATGTCATCGTATCCCAATTGTGTAGATCGATGCTCATGCTGTTGATCACTGGGTTGTCTGGTCCAGATTCGATTATTTACAGACCGCTGCCATCTAGCTGGAATATGCTGAGCGGTATGTTACACAAAACTGGACAAACGTTCCCTCCAGATCTACACGGTACATGCATACGTTAGTACCATAGACAACGCCATTGGATGTTTTGTCAACGTGTATTGTCATGGTTTTGTATACGAAATTCAAGGAGATGAGGTCTTTCTGTGAACAAACGACCAAACAAAGAACCGTCTTTTGTGGAATATCAGCACATTTTATAGTTACATCGACACTTCTAGCAAAACTACCTTTTACATGGCAACCCAAAATACATAATAGATCACACATTATACGGCACCATTTTTGTCATCATGAAGCAGTTTTTGGGCTATATGACATATTGTTACTGGCATGTCTGCGTACAGTGAGATCAGCTTCACAGCATGCCCTTAAAACAAATCGACAATTGGAAGAAGGCATTCTCTGATCAGTTCCGTTTAACGCCATGTTTGCTCCCCGGAACAATTCAAACACAGAATGCATCTCCAGTACCCTTCCTTTGTCACAAACGTGTTTTCCCTCAAGGAACCTCTGGGACACTATGGGCCTGTTTGACTATTGCGAAACTGGTTTTGGTTTCTGAAACTGGTTTCTCTTATCAAAACGAGTGTCTAGTTTCGGATATATCGTTTCAAAGTGAAACTAAATTGGGCGTTTGAATCAAACATGGTGCGGGTGTGTTTCAGCACCCTTGCTTTTCTCTGTGTTTGACAATGTTTTATTTCACTCAAATTCAACGAATATTGAATCAGTTGCTCCACTGCATGTTCCAACATGTCGTTTAAAGTGCCCATTAAGCACACAAAAAGTTGCATTTACCTTACGTATAAATTACCTCACCACGTTTTAGTTTATATATGACTATCAAATTTTAGGGTGTTCCCATATTTTTTGTTTGTAGTATATATAAGACCCGGAACGTTCATTTCCCAACGGTTAAAGCATCGGCTCCACATGGTCAAAATCTGGGCTCAATTGCCTACACGAGTACAATATGTAACGGTCATTTGTATGTATGGTGTTTGGGATTGAATATTGCAAAATGTAGCACCTAACACATAAATGGCTCCCCAACTCTGACCAAGACACAGCTTCCGTGTCTTACTAAGTGTAGCATTGCTGATTATAGGAACACAAGCGACAAAATACCCCCTAAACTGCACACGAGTTATATGATCCCATTCTGATGACCTAACTTCCTTCAGCTTTGTAAACCTTCACGTAACCGTCAACCTGGGTCACAGCGAGTAGGTTCCTACCCAATATATACACCCCACAGGGTTTAGTCAGTGAGTCCTCCTCCGTCAGTATTTTCTTCACCAGGGTACCTTTCGGAGATACTAGGTGAATAGAGTTACCGTCCCTGTCCACCAATAGAGCATGATTGGCTACATCACATGCGACCCCCAGCGGACATTCCAAAGCGTCTTCTCCTTTGGGCCTGTAGGTGAACTTGTTCGTTCCATCTTCGTGAACAGCAAACATCAAACGTCTACCGCTGTCTGATACCACAAAATATCCTTTAGGTGACTGGGTTAGGTACAAGGGTCTTGAGATGACTGCTTTCTCTGATTTCTGGGTGTAGACGGTCTTGAGGAACGCGCCAGTTTGAGATATGAGATCTATAGTGTCGCAGTTATTGGTTCCAACAAGGAGAGAACCATCCTGCGTTCCTGTGATGTAGGCATACTGCTTCTTTGTCTTTACCTGGGCCAGGATTCTGAGAGTTCCAAAAATCGAGAAGAACAGCAGTAGCTTCTTGGTCATGACTGTGACGACTATTTTGCTGTTAGAGATCACGGCAATTCTGGAAGGAACATCGGGGATGGGCACGCGAGTTAGGACCTTCCCGTTGGCATTGAATTTTTTGAGACATTTGTTATCTCTATCTGTAAGGATAACATCACCACCGCTCAGGATGACGACGTCTGTCAAAAGAGGTTCGGCATAGTCATCTCGGGTACCACCATGAAAGCATGCAACGAGCGACAGCTTCCCTTCCCACGGAGAATCCAGAGGAGACGCTAGTCCATTAGGAGTAGCTTCGCCTTCTGTTGATATAACAACCTCTCCCAAATTTAACGTCCTCTCGAGTTTTGTCACTGCTTTGTCGTTTCCTATGAATGATATGTTGTTTTCCTGGACCTGATGGCATAACTGGGAACATTCCAACAAGTACTGGTCTACCCTCTCTGACATTGCTTTCTCAATCTCAAGCAGCTCGCCATGACCATTCATTGACATTGCACATTCAAACACATCAACTGACTTTTGAACACAGGACCTCAGCGTTTGTCCTTTGAAGATGTCCATCTGGACTTTACTGCTTTCCTCTTCATAACGTTCCTCTATTTCTTTCAACGTTTCCTTTTCCTTTTCAAGAATCACACTGACGAGATGTTCCCTCAGTGTCTGGACTGACTCAATCGCTTGCTGTTTCTGTTCATCTAGACGTGCCAGTCTCGCGCGTCTAGGTTTCAACTTTGCTTCCGTGTCCAAATAGACCTTTGTGAGAAATTCATGGATGGTATTGAATGTTAGCATGTTCATGTCTACAGCTTCTTGTAGTGAAATAACGTCCTTGCATTTCTTATGTAGTGTTGACACACATTTCTGACATATGAGCTTCTGACACGAAGGACAGAAGTCTGCAGCGGTTTGTTCCGGATGGGTGTGACACGTCACTTGGGACTCGTCCAACCTGGACATGACACTCTGGGATCTCTCTGGAAGATCCACTTCCTGATCCGAATTGGAATTCTGTTCTCTTGGATCCTCTCTCTTGTCATCGTCCGAGTCAGAGATTTCCACGCTGTCATCGTCGTTGGTGGTGGTTTCAGCACCTTGATTACAGATTTCAAAATAGCTCTTCAGAAATTTGCATTCTCGCTCTGTCACAGGAGTAGGTAGAAGTTTGCTGCCATCAAAGTTACACATGGGACATGCTGCGGATCGTGCTAACCGTCTGTGTTGACTCAGGCAACATTCGCAGAAGATGTGTAGGCATGGTAACAGTTTCGGATCCTTTAACTTCTCATTGCAGATAATGCATATGGATAAATCCTCATTCATATCCGCCATGTTTAATACCTAAAACAAAATAACGACATGTTTTGACAATTATATGTAGAATAGGCGATTCGGTTCAAAGGGACTATCGTTATAACGAGTATTCTAAACCAGGGAAGCATGTTTCCGTTTGCAGACATATAACAAGCATTTTCATATGAAAGACATAACGTGTAATAGAATATGCTTGTTTTGTTTGTTGTTTTACGCCGCACTCAACAATATTCCATCTATTATACGGCATTCGGACCTGGACCATACAATCCAGTGATCAACAGCATGAGCATCGTTCTACGCAATTGGGATACGATGACATGTGTCTAACCAAGTCAGCGAGCCTGACCTCCCGATCCCGTTAGTCGCCTCTTCCGACAAGCATAGTCGCCTTTTGTGGCAAGCATGGGTTGCTGAAGACCTATTCTACATCGGATCTTCACGGGTCTATTTATTTTACGGCATTCGGACCTGGACCAGACAATCCAGTGATCAACAACATGAGCATCGTTCTACGCAATTGGGATACGATGACATGTGTCTAACCAAGTCAGCGAGTCTGTCCACCCGATCCCGTTAGTCGCCTCTTCCGACAAGCATAGTCGCCTTTTGTGGCAAGCATGGGTTGCTGAAGACCTATTCTACACCGGATCTTCACGGGTCTATTTATTTTACGGCATTCGGACCTGGACCAGACAATCCAGTGATCAACAACATGAGCATCGTTCTACGCAATTGGGATACGATGACATGTGTCTAACCAAGTCAGCGAGTCTGTCCACCCGATCCCGTTAGTCGTCTCTTCCGACGAGCATGGGTTACTAAAGACCACTAATAACCCGGATCTTCACGGGTAAATCACTCTATATATGAGATCCGTCTGCATCAGTGATTATACGGACTGATGGTGACCGGATAAACGAGGTTTCAATGTACCGAGATACGTATAGATAGGTATATTTTTAATTTAGAAAAAACTAAACAACCGACAACTTCAAGTACATAAAACATAGTGGGTTGCTATTACATGATCTTTGTGATATATTGCTGGTACCGAGATAACATAAATACAGATAGATATCTCCTAATTCTCACGAATACGGATTAACTGATATCGTCACTGGACTTTTGTCATCTTATCGCCACTGCTAAAAGTTTCACGGCTTTCAGAGATTCCGTGCCTGTGTTAACGATCGACAACTGTCTGACTTGTCTTTTTTCACCATAACATGTGCAACTTGTATGATATGTCCCTTCTCCAATTATAACACGATCTGGGTGATTTGACAATCGCAGTTTTACGGATATCAATATGGCTCAATCCCCCTGCAATGTCGCGTGGTAGGCCTTTAAAAGTTGGTACTTGTTATTTCCCTGCCTGGTGCATGGCTTTGAGGGGTATAAATAAGCAGTCCATTTTCAAACTGTGGCATATTACCACACTTAGCTGATACTATGACAGTTCACTGGAAAGGTCAGTGACAGGTGCTGGTGCAGATCCCAAAAGTTTGATTCTCGAAAATTTCTTTTTGGGAAGTCTTTAATTAAAATGGAAAATAGAAAAGAAACTATAAGAAACAAATGGTGCATGCAAGAGACGTTGATAACATGTTATCTGTGCTTCACTGGAACACCTTATCATGAGGTGAGTTTCCAGTTTATAAAAGAATTTATTCGAAGTGCTTCAATAATTCTATTGAAGATGAACTTTATTACTTTTATAACTTCATATGACTATCAAACGTATTCATCCCACGTTTTAACTTAGATTATTTTGCAATGTAATTCAATGACGAATATGGTGTTCAAGTTAAGTTTAAGTTCGAAAGTTCTACTTTTTAATGTCATGTAGATTCATAACGGTTAATCCTGCTAAAACTCTTCACAAAATGTTACTTCGCCGGCGAGCATTGGTACATGTGTATATCTCCAATACCAGTGTGTATATATAAACTGAACGGCAAAAGAAATTATACCAAAAGTTACCATTTCTCAAATTTTAAAGAAATATGTTTGTAGGTAAATTATACACTGAAACATGTTGCCCCAACGTATTAATTTGATACCTGCAGTGAGATTTACGTGCACGTCGTGAATAAAACGTCGAAGTTGTAAATTGTATAAACCATGATTTTGGGCCTCTGTCAGAGTTCCACATGCACTAAGGGTATAAAAGTTAGTGTGCGGACGGGTTACACATGCAATTTGAAAACGACCACCACAGATGTGCCACGACTATCAGCAGTTGAACGTTAGGGAGCTATAGGTATGCTCCAGATGGGGTCGATACACGCCAACGCTGCAAGAACCTTCCAGACTGTTGCAACGTTACAGGCAGACGGGCCAGACACCGGACAGACCAAGAAGTCGGAGACCGCGAGTAACAACACCAGCTGAAGACCGGCATTTGAGGAAGTTACACGTACCCGTTTTCTAACGGTAACGTCATTAGCGGCGAATTCCCTTGATCACCGTGTCAGTCGATACACGGTGGCTAGACGTCTTCGCGCAGCAGGTACCAGAGCCTACAGACCCTTCAGAGGACATCTGTTGACCCTGAACACAGACGTCACAGATTGCGTTGGGCCCGAGTTGTCCGTCGTTGGTAGCGACGAGAGGAACAACGTGAACGTTCTACAGTGGCCAGCACGTCATCAGACATGTCCCCGATCGAGCACACGTGGTATGCACTAGACAGACGCGTGCGGAAACGCCCCAACCCACCACAGAATAGACAGCAACTTGTACAAGCCCTCAAGGACGAATGGCGTCGCATACCACGTGACCTTGTCCGACGTCTGACGTCTTCGGCTAGAAGGAGGCTGCGTGCCTGTATTGATGCAGGGGGTGGACATACAGGATACTAAAGTGATGGTAGTGAACATTTATTGTGTGAAACTCATTACCTGCTTATCCTCCATGTGATTGAACACTGGTTTTCAGGAACCCCAGTGAACTTGCGCATGTCTGACATCACGTTTCTGTAGTATGCGTGTGATATTTAGCTCAGGTTGAGTACAGATGTTGTTAGCACCACTGCATTATGTTTGTGTGTCTAGGTAGTCTGGGTCAATGATAATGACCTCTTGAAATACTTGTATACTTTCTTTTGCCGGTCAGTTTAGTATGTTGTAATAATAATGATTATACATATATCGCGTAGTTTAGAAGGAAACAGATCTTGTTCTTTGTCTTTTACTCAGTAAACAAAATAATGCCGATGGCAGTCACTGACGTATATCCGGGGTTGATTACGTACGGATCACGGAACAATACCTCCGGTGTGGTATGCCGGCGTTATGGTTTCAACAAAGCCGTCGGTCCGTATACGCACCTGTTTGCATGACTAATGAACTACAGCTTAGCAGCTAGAAATTGGATATATCCTTTGGCTGGGTCAACACAAACACCAAACAACCAAGCCAGCACAGACACTCGAGTACACACGAGCACACATACATACGCACACAAGAAGGTATCACGCACATACACAGACATGTGCCTATACCACATCATGCACATACCGTAACACACACATACACATTATACACACACCCAGACATACGGATCGCGCACAGACTCGCACACATATACAAATCCGGCACACTTACAAAACTAAACCCACACTGACATACACATGTGCATATCCTCCAACACACACACACACAAGCACACACATACAAAAAATAAACACCAACTCATATGCACATGTACAGATCCTCCAACACACGCACACACATACAAAAAAATAAACACACACTAACATACACATGTGCATATCCTCCAACACACACACGCACACACAAGCACACACATGCAAAAAATAAACACCAACTCATATGCACATGTACAGATCCTCCAACACACACGCACACACGTGCAAAAAATAAACACACACTAATATGCACATGTACATATCCTCCAACACACACGTACACACATACAAAAAATAAACACCAACGCATATACATATCCTCCAACACACACGCACACACATACAAAAAATAAACACACACTAATATGCACATGTACATATCATCCAATACACACGCACACACATAGAAAAAATATACACCAACTCATATACACATGTACATATCATCCAACACACACGCATACACATACAAAATATAAACACACACTTATATGCACATGTACATATCCTCCAACACACACGTACACACATACAAAAAAAAAACACCAACGCATATACACATGTACATATCATCCAACACACACGCACACACATACAAAAAATATACACCAACTCATATACACATGTACATATCCTCCAACACACATGCACACACGTACAAAAAATAAACACCAACTCATATGCACATGAACATATCCTCCAACACACATGTACACACGTACAAAAAAATAAACACACACTAATATGCACATGTACAGATCCTCCAACGCGCACGCACGCACGGGCAAAAAAACACAACGCACACTAAAAATAAACACACACTAACATGCACATGTACATATCCTCCAACGCACACGCACACATGTACAAAAAATAAACACACTAATATGCACCTGTACATATCCTCCAACGCAGACGCACACACGTAAAAAAATAAACACACACTAATATGCACCTGTACATATCCTCCAACGCACACGCACACAAGCACACACATTCAAAAATACACACCAACTCATATGCACATGTATATATCCTCCAACGCACACACACACACACACACACAAGCACACACATACAAAAATATCCACCCATGCATATACACATGTACATATCCTCCAACACCCACCCACACACAAACCAAAAAACACCCACTCATGTGTACATGTACATATCCCCCAACGCACACACACAAAAGCACACACATACAAAAATACACACCAACTCATATACACATGTATATATCCTCCAACGCACACACACACAAGCACACACATACAAAAAACACCCACTCATATGCACATGTACATATCCTCCAACGCATACACAAGCACACACATACAAAAATACTCACTCAAACCACTGTCTGCCAACACACACGTACCATTCTCTGATAACATAATCATATTATCGCTAAAATCGTGGTCCGTCAGTGACAATGAGACGTCTACACTAATATATTATTATCACGTGAAAAGTAATATAACAAATATGCTCTTATCTATATACCGCCAACACATTTTACAAAACAACCTGTGTACATTCACATCTCCATGGACAGTGTAGCCAACACACCAGAATGACTGAATATGGTTTTACGCCGCTGTTAGCAATACTCCAGCAATATCACGACGGTGGACACCAGGAATGGGCTTCACACATTGTGCCCATGCGGTAACACACCAGTAACAGGCTTCATAATATACATTAACTTCTTAGGATATACTAAAAAATCAAACTACGCATGTAGACACGGATAACTACGGTTATAACGAACTCGAATGAACAAGAAATTATAGTTCGCTATAACCGTATTTCGTTATACGCATTTCGACTAAAACCTACAGTAAGTGACCGGGCCAAAAATAGTTCGTGATAGTCGTTTTAAGCGTGTTCGTCATAAACGTAGTTTAATTTACGCCATGCTCATAAGCATAGCTATCATAAAGCTAAGGCGCAATACCTTGGGTGACAATGATAATGAGCATGGTAAACATAACGCCGTATAGTAAGTAAATAGGTATACCTACTGACACGGGGCTATATAACGGTGAGACTCCTCGCCTTCAGTAGCTTGTGTAGATCACACTGACGTTAATTGACAGCGCAGTTGTACCAAGGGACAACCGACATTGTGAAACAGAGTGTAAGGAGACAATACACGTGAAAAGAGAACACTTACTACGCCCTACCTGGGTCGGCTGATCATACAACGCTTCTCACGGGCCATGCATTGGTTGTCAGGTTTTAGAAACTCAATAAACATATCGACCCGGCTGGTGTTGCATGCCCACACATGACTGTGTTCCACGCATGTAGTCACTTGTAATGGATCCTTTAACCCTTAATGTGCTGAGGGAGGACTGGTTGAGTTAGGACTGTATTGCCTTGCTACACTAATCTCATCGAACAGATTAGGCCTTATTAGATGGCTTAAGGATTTCTGAAAATATTATGTTGGTGGGCAAACTGAAAATATAGAAAGATTTAGACCCTTATTTATTTATTCGTTCGTTCGTTCGTTCGTTCGTTCGTTTTATTTCATTCATTCATTCATTCATTCATTCATTCATTCATTTATTTATTTAAAAATTTATTTATTTATTTATTTATTTATTTATTTATTTATTTATTTATTTATTATTTTAACATTTTTCAGTTGCCATTGGTGTGTAAATATATAACTTCAAAACTAGAGAGTAATCAAATCTCTGTTGTCTGCCGAAATATATTCCAGCCGGCGTGAAAAACCAAACAGTGGTTGAAACTACGAAAACAGTGGGGAAAACATTTGTTAACAAATGGGAGGGGATATAGTTCGATGCCTACAATGTGTGAAACCCATATCTCGTGTCTACGTCGTCATATTTGCAGTTTGCGTCTTAAAATTGTATTCATTTACTGGGGTTGAGGTGATTTGATATTCGTGCATTTGAATATACCTGCGTGGCACAGTATATCATGCATGTATATATCTCCCTTAACAAATTCATAGCACGCTCGTTTCGGTATATCAGCAAATCATCAAACAACGCGACGAGCCGAACATGCATGAATATCATAGACTTAACTTTGATCCTCTGATTACTGCTGTAGGCTTAATCAAACACCGTACGTGTCACCAAAGACATTGTGTTTAAATAATTACAACATGCTAACAACATACAAATGTCACAAGTTGGAGCCTGATGGATAAACATGCGATAAATACACCTGTGTTCCTTGATCCTTTGATGTACCTCCAAGTCTAACGTACTTTAACGCGCGGGCGATCAACGTCGACCTCAGCACAAATAATATTGATTGTTGCTAACGCCCCTATTGAGGATAAGAAGTATTTGGATATGTGCCCCGGGGCTGCTCCACGGGAAAAAAAGGTAGCGATTGTGAACAGCTCATTAAGGTAGCTGGTTGATCGGGTAGTTTATCATCGGATATGGCATTCAGTCTGAGTTAACCATGTGCTAAGGCGTGTGGAACAACCCCGAGTATGTGATATATTGATATAGTTGTAACTGACACTGTATTATACATTTGTATATATGATGATAATGGCTATTTATAACGCGTCGGGGGCGGCGGGGTAGCCTAATGGTTAAAGCGTTGGCTTGTCACGCCAAAGACCCGGGTTCGAATCCCCACATGGGCACAATGTGTGAAGCCCATTTCTGGTGTCCCTCGCCATGATGTTGCTGGAATATTGCTAGAAGTGGCGTAAAACCAAACTCAGTCAGTCAGTCAGTATAACGCGTCTGTTTCCACGCACTTGTGCATGCGCAAGGCGCTAACACATTACTAACCCGGATGGCCCAGGCAGCATGTAACGTGTTAGAAGCAAAACAGTCATATTACTTATCTCACCGGGTACCCATTGAGGGCGGTGGGGGTAACCTAGTGGTTAAAGCGTTCGCTCGTCACGCCGAAGACCCGGGTTCGATTCCCCACATGGGTACAATGTGTGACGCCCATTTCTGGTGTCCTCCAACGTGATATTGCTAGAATATTGTTAGAGTGAGTGAGTGAGTGAGTGAGTGAGTGAGTTTAGTTTTACGCCGCTTTTAGCACTATTCCATCAATATCACGACGGGGGACACCAGAAATGGGCTTCACATATTGTACCCATAGATGGAATCGAACCCGGGTCTTCGGCGTGACGAACGAACGTTTTAACCACTAGGCTACCCCACCGCCCCTGAATATTGTTAGAATCGGCGTGGATGGAATCTGTAAACTAAACTCAATTCACTCAATGAGTACCCATTAACTGCTGGTTGAACAGAGGCAATTTTGAACAAACTCACTTGCCTGGGGTGAGACCACATGTATCACATGTACTTTGTTGTGGTGCAGTCCTAGAAACTCTCAAGAGTCAAGCTGCCAGACACGGTCACCCATGCAAGGACTCTCCGCGACCAACCTAGCTTAACTGCAAGCGATGTGTGCTCTATGCACAAGGCCACACATCACCTTAACTAGGCTAAAGCTCCGTCTCTGGAAATATATCAATTCCATAGAAACAAGCCGTCACATTTATACTGAAAAGTGTTGGAATGTTTGCGTTATTTTAATGAACGAGTGAGTGAGTTTAGTTTTACGCTGCTTTTAGCAATATTTCAGCAATGTCACGACAGGGGACACCAGAAATGGGCTTCACACATTCTACCCATGTGGGGAATCGAACCCGGGTCTTCGGTGTGAGGAACTGTAACCATTATTCTAACCCATCGCCCCCGCAAATGATGAAATGTTTTAACATTTTTTTGAAATCCCATTGAACGTTTAAAGCCTTTAAGCTCATATTGTCCAAGAAATGAATTTAATGGATTTTTTTGTTTTCTTGTAGATGAAATTGAGCACAATCTTTGACCCTAGATGATGTTATGTATATGGAACCGTAGCATTACGCACACAGTAAGGCTTGCTAAAGTGAAAATAAAATGTGATAGGAATGCCAAAGGGCCTTACACCAAGGTCTTATATCATAGCAGTGGTTACCAAGAACTGGGTTCGGGCATTATTACCCTAAACCCGGGTTAGAATTGGTCTTCAGGAACCTTACTTGTCATCAGAGGCATTTACGGGATTGGTAGTCTGGCTTGCTGACTAACACATCCTTAACATAAACAGGTTTGTGTGGTTTGTGAGCGTTGACATGCCTGGGAAGCCATATTTAATCTATTAATTCTCAGTTCTTACCACCGGCATGACCACCGAGGACCTTTAACTCGCGAAGAGTCCGATCAGAATAGGTGTTCAGCAACCCATGCTCGTCTTAAGGATGACTGACGGGATCGGGTGGTTTGGCTTTCTGGGACCCGTGAAGATCCGGGGTAGAATAGGTCTTCAGCAACCCATGCTTGCCACAAAAGGCGACTATGCTTGTCGTAAGAGGCGACTAACGGGATCGGGTGGTCAGGCTCGCTGACTTGGTTGACACATGTCATCGGTTCCCAAATGCGCAGATCGATGCTCATGCTGTTGATCACTGGATTGTCAGGTTACAGACCGCCGCCATATAGCTGGAATATTGCTGAGTGCGGCGTAAAACTAAACTTACTCACTCACTCATTGGCTTTCTGGCTTGGTTGACATATGTTATCGTGTCTAAACTGCATACATCGACGCTCATGTTGTTGATCACTGGATTGTCTGGTCATTTTTCATTTTTACAGACCGCCGCCATATAGCTGGAATATTGCTGAGTGCGGCGTAAAACTAAACTTACTCACTCACTCATTGGCTTTCTGGCTTGGTTGACATATGTTATCGTGTCTAAACTGCGTACATCGACGCTCATGTTGTTGATCACTGGATTGTCTGGTCATTTTTCATTTTTTGTCAGACCGCCGCCATATAGCTGGAATATTGCTGAGTGCGGCGTAAAACTAAACTCACTCACTCACTCATTGGCTTTCTGGCTTGGTTGACACATGTTATCGTGTCTAAACTGCGTACATCGACGCTCATGTTGTTGATCACTGGATTGTCTGGTCATTATTCATTTTTTCCAGACCGCCGCCATTTTGCCGGAATATTGCTGAGTGCGGTGTCAAACAACAAACAAAATACCAACAAATAAATCGTTCATTTTGCTCATGAGAGGATTCGAGCAAGTTCTCCAGCGTGATTAGAAACAAACTGCAAGTATCTTATCAACATATCGATTTGGATGTGTTTAATTCAACCTGTACAGTTTCAATATATTCGCTATATATCCCGTGGAGGGACACAACTATGAACATGTAGACGAGGTCCGGTCACAACGTTTGACGTTGTTGTCGAAGACGAGCCCAGGGGGACACGGTCTGTTGTCAAAGATACGACCGGCGTGACATGTGACGTACACTTTGCAGCCGTTGCAGGATTGGTGATCGCCGTTGGACACCCCCTCACAGGAACTCACGCATGCCCTTGGTGTTCTGAAAGATAAAATCGGAATATGACATGAGTCGAACACTGCATGATAATATTGTAACACTAACGTAATTGAGAATTGTATGTCAGGGGTAGGACTGCAGGGTCTGGAATGACAAGTACTACTTATCTTGGCTGGGCAAGTCACCGCAAAAATGATCTTAGATCTTAAACAGAGTTGCGCTCCTTTGGGCTTCCCAGAATCAGATGACCAATTGTCCAAGTTCCAGATTGGCCTGATTACGAGTAACGGTTTGTCAGCGTGACCCCGCCGGTCTTATCAGAGCGGTAACGTCTATGACCTGAACTGGCGTGTTTCCATTCAACGTTTAACCGACATGGCGTCACTTCAGTGAAATATCTGGGGTTAAGTATGACTATCTAACCGTAATGCGACCAAATTTGTAATCATGGATCACTATGTGATACGTTAAATGAGCATAGCCCTATCGTTAGTCAGCTTTGTCTAACGTGACCCAGAGACCCATCAGAGACACTGGGAGAACGCCTCTATAATCACTCGCAGTGTACAGTAACCGTCAGTGTTGCCAATACCTCCCCCAGGGTCCAAGTGTAGATATCGAGCAATCAGCCTTAGGTTGTCTACCCGTGGCAGTGCAACAGATAGTGTTGTATGAATTGATAGTATACAAAACAGCAACTTGATATGTGTGTGAGGTTTGTCGCATTATTTATCACCTGCCCAGTCTGAAAAGCAGACACGAGTCGTGAAGATCCGGGTTAGAATTGGTCAATTCAACCAGTGTTTTCTGTTTATAGATCAAACTATATTCTCAGAAACTTACTGTTAAACGAACCTACGGTCTGCAATTCAAAAGACACGTGTTCCCCTATTTTCTGGGCCTCTTCTCTTTGACTATGCTTAAGAATTCCAATATGTACACTTACCGCAATATGTGTATGAAATGATTACAGATATGGATAGACTGTTAAACACACTAAATATAATCACAGCAAGACTCAGATGTATAAGCATAATTACACTAGGCACGCCTACAACAACTGACCAATAATGACGAAATGTAAAGTACACACCTTGTGCTTTGTGATTGCTTTCCAAATAGGGACAAAACTATCAAAACCAAAACCAACCAATAGTCACAGACATTGTTGTGTACGTGTTGCCAAAGCACAACATGTAAATCACAATCAACTTTTGAATTATTTTTTTTTTGTTTTGCGGAAAATAACAACAAAATAGCGGATGGGTGCTTTCTTTTGTATGTCGGTTTACTTTTACCTCGGGCACATGCTGTAACGACGCTTTACAACGAAATGCGCATAACGAAGTACCTTTATATACAACTAAATTAGTTGCCCATAGCTCGTAATAACTGTTGTTACTATACATAGGTATGGGACCCGCACTGTATCTGAAAAGAAATCTTTATGCAAAATGATCCGACCCCATATTTTGCATTAACATGATTTAATGTGTTAGATAAACCTATTTATCATTTCTTGTATAATATAACTAGTTCTACATGTGTTATCATTGTACCTATCCCACATTTTGCAGTAACATGATTTCATGTGTTTTATAAACTGATTTATCATTTCTTGTACAATATAACTATTTCCACTTGTGTTATCATTGTACTTATCCCATACTGTGCAGTAACATGATTTCATGTGTTTTATAAACTGAATTATCACTTCTTGTACAATATAACTATTTCTTCATGTATTATCATTGTACTTCAGAAATAACTTGTAAGCAGTAAGCATTCCACACAGAAATCTGTATTTCAACAGTTTGTAATCTGAGCCACGAGGCCTCCAATACTGAATAAAGACTTAAAGACTATACCATTTCACATCTGTATTTCTATTCCTGATATAAAGGAACTTACGTGGAGTGGCAAGTTGACGATGAATCTTGACAACGTTTGAAGGAGTCGTCCCAGAGGGTGTCCGCAACACACTTCCTCTCGTACAGCATCCCTCCCAAACACGTGGCGTACCCTCCGCATCCCGCGCATGTCTGATAGTCCCCATCCGGCATCCCCGTACAGTTGGACATGCACGGGGTCGCTTCTATCTCCATGCCTGTTAATACAAAATACACATGTCAGCTCACAGAAACTCGCTGTTAATGTATTCTAAAGGATTGACCATTCGATAATCTGTGGATAACGATTTTGTTTTTTAATCAGACAAATTACAAAATAAACTCGGGGCCGGTTGTATGTCCTGTCAACCTGACACCAGCTGCACAAGCACGGGGTCGCTACTAGCTCTATGCCTGTTAATACAAAATACAGATATCTAAACTAGTCACAGATACTCGCTGTTAATATATTTTGAAGGTCCGACCATTAGATATTCTTTGGATGAGGTTTATACTTTTTTAATTCAGACAAATTGAAAAAAACAACAATAAGTGCCTTTGTTTTACAAGAAAATGTGTCCTCTAAACCAGCTGTATGTCCTAACAACCGTTTTGTTTTTAAAATTTGAATATTCTCTTTTCCAAAGGAAAAATATATGATGGTGACCAAGCTTCTATCCTTTTCTTATCTGTCGTTTCCTAGAATATCAAGCTTAACGCTATAAAACTAACGTAACATCGAAACATCACAACTTAATTCTTTTTCAGCAGGGCGACGGGGTAGCTTAGTGGTTAGATTCCTCACATGGGTACAATGTGTGAAGCCCATTTCTGGTTTCCCCCGCCGTGATATTGCTGGAATATTGCTAAAAGCGGCGTAAAACACAACTCACAAACTCTTTTTCAGCATAATATTTAAATCGCACGTAATTTATACAAGTACATGTCGTGCGTAGATAATATACCCATGCTGTTTATGAAAATGAAATCGCACCATTAAACCCTGTAAATTCCAGCAATGTCTCAATGAAGGACTTGAGGGTTAGGATAAGTCCCTAGGGATCGGGTGATGAAACTCGTTGACCTGGTCAAACCGTTATATATATATCCCAATTGTGGCAGAAGGCGACGTTCATCAAAGCATCCAAACATGCAACAGTATTTAGGCTGATTTTAGTATTGTACGAACGCTTCGGTGAATTAGCCTCTACAAGAACTTTGTTTGACAAAGATGATCTCTTCAAGCACAATGTTTTTATTTCCAAATTAAGACTTTATTCTGTTTATTCCAATATCGTTTTAGTGGCTTCCGTGGGGATAATCATGGGTACCTGTGTTTTCATATGTTACATATTTTGAATATGATTTTTAGGCATCGTTCAGTCATGAGTGAGTGAGTTAAAATCTATAGTCAAACATTGGCAATATTTCAGCCATATTGTGACTAAAGCACGCCATACATTAATAATAGATAATGTTATAGAATAAAATCTGTCGCCAAAGGACAATAAAATAACAAGAATTTCACAATTAGAGATTTAAAACTAGCATGTAACTTAAAAATGAGCGAACGCTTTAACCACTCGGCTACCCCGCCGTCTCTCAAACAATATTCCAGCTATATGGCGGCGGGCTGTAAATAATCGAGTCTGGACCAGACAATCATGTGATCAACAACGTAAGCATAGATCTACTCAGTTGGGATACGATGACATGTGTCAACCAAGTCAGTGAGCCTGACCATCCGATCCCATTAGTCGCTTCTTACGACAAGCATGGGTTACTGAAGACCAATGTTTACCCGGATCTTCACGAGTTGTGCCAATGGTTTCCGTCCGATATCTATATTATGTACACAGTGAATGCCAGTGCAATGCATCATATCCCTAGATACACTGAAACAACTACCTCCACCACAGGGTTTGTCGATGATGCATGGTTTCTCTGATTTTCGGCAGATTTTCATAAATTCTAAAAGAAATATCACAAAAACTATCTTTCTTGCGCTGTGTACTTCGAAAATACCGGCTATCATGTTCCCCTAATCCCGGTACCTCTCGCTTATTCACTCACTCGCTTCAAGAAACGTCAACTCGTAAATAATATTGTCAACTTTATGTCACTTACCGGATGTGACGTCAAACAGAACCATCATGATCACGCAGAGAGACGAGAGTACGGCGTGCATTTTCATCTGAAACGAGACATAAACATTTTCACAAATATCGCATTACAGACAATATTCACAGACAATATCAAGTGAATGAGAGTGAATGGCTAATGATCCTAATTCTAATTATTTTTCTGGGTGGCTCTGCGTAATGCTTGGTATTTTAGCGGACAGTCAAAGTGAAATAACTGAGACTCATGAATAGTGTAACGGCCAAGGCACGTAACTCTACACAGTGACCAGACCAGTTTTGTAAACAATTTTGTCTGGACAAGACAATCAACGGATCAACAATATGAGCATCGATCTACGCAATCGGGATACGATAACATGTGGGAGCCAAGTCAGCGAGCCTGACCATCCGATCCGTCAGTCGCCGCTTACGGCAAGCATGGATGTGGGTTCGAATCCCAGATGGGACTCAACCCAACAAAAGTACAAGAATCTGTACTTTAATAAGACAGTGTAATCTCAAATCTAACTTATGTTAAAGCATGGGTTGGGTATACTGAAACATCTGAAGTCAGGATAATCAACACAAGCTTGAATGGTCACCGTAACAATCAAGGAGTGTTATGATTCTAACATAGTGATACATAATACCTAGTCGTGACTGTCCTTACAAAGATGATTCCGTTTGGTGTAAGGGAAAAATAACTATACTATTCACACTTGGCTAAGGATCAAATCATGGATTCAACAGAAAACCATGATATGGGGTCAAATTTGGTTTAAACATCTAAGCTTATTGTAAGCATGGTTCCTAGGTTTCAGTATGTAATTGCATTTTGTATATCCCATACCTGCTATTGACAGGTGTTGTTTATTTGTCAATGACTCGTACCATGAGTTGCAAAATGGTTGATTGGGGCCATGAAAACCATTTTACGGTTACTCATGTATCAAGTGCATAAGATTAGAATAAAGTGGCTGTCTGCCTAAAGGGGGGTTACCTTATTATAATTTATGCAGTTTTAAATGGATTCAATTTCAAATTTTAAATCTACGTTTATGGGAAGTTGTGTATTTTTGTGATCCTTATCAAAGTGTGAGTAGGATATATGAAAGGATCACTGAAAATTAGTGAGGACACCGGGTATTCGCCAAAATGTTGAGCATGTCCAGCCCTAAAGGTAGCACCCGACTTCACAAAATATTAAGCAGGTCTGCATCAATATCTCATCGGAATACACCATTCATTGTACAATGTCGGCAATCAGACCCACCGTATTGAACCACTCAATAGACATATCCAGTCTCTATGGTCTAAACTGTCCATAGAGAAAGCATTCACTAATACAGTAACAATTTACAAAACGTTACAAGAGACACAATGCTGAAACATTCCTCTAAACAACGTAAAGTTCTTGAACAAGCCTATATCGAGTAACGCAATAACAAGTACTTATATGTTTCCTTTTGAACTACCATCGAACATTGCATCTTATTCGACACTTAAAGTAAGTTCAATTCGTCAGTTCCTTAAAAGAATAGAACATATGCATAGTACAACATACCTGGATTGTCCCTTGACACAAACAACGTCGATGAACTCAAGACCTGCAACATGCTTGCCCAATACAGATTCCTTTATAGTAAACCCTTGTGTCCCCGAGCAGAATTCAACCTGATATCATCTCAATAGAAGGTCTCATATCATCTCACTTACGCGTAATAAAGATCATACTTTTGTGTTGATTAGGAGCAATTGTGACGCAACTATGAAAATTGTCGTGCTCGTTTGTGATACAAGTGGATGAATGCCAACGCTTGCTTCGCTCGCCCCAGGCGGGGAAGAATCCGCTTATATCTATTTAACAAGTCTGTCTTTTTTACACTCCCTTGCCGAAAATGGCAAACGCTTTCAAAGTGAAAATTTTATGATAAAGATTTGGGTGAGAGAGGGAGTATGGTTTTACCCCGCTCTTAGCAATATTCCAGCAATATCATGGCGGGGAACAACAGAAAAGCGTCTCATGCATTGTACCCATGTGGGGAATCGAACCCGGGTCCTCGGGGTGACGAGTGAACGCTTGAACCACTAGGCTAACCCATCGCTCATTGAACCTTTCAAGCCATAAAGCTAACATTTGTCCAAGAAATATTCTCTTTTTTGTTTATTTTCTAATGGATGAATCTGAGCACAACCATTAATCCGATGTTTTCAGGTGTAAATGAAAACTGACTTATGGCGAGAAATTCCTGTTTGGGTACAGACCTGCCAAAACATCTCTTAAATTCTAAAACGATATCCCTAGATTTGAACATAAGTCAAAGGCGTGGGAGTGGAACAGGTTGTTGCCAGACATATCAGCCTACCCAAGAATTGTCATATCGATATTATAGCAGTTTCTTGGCTACATGAAAACCATTTTTATGGTTACTCGTGTATCAAGTGCATAAGGTTAGAATAAAGTGGCTGTCTGCCTAAAGGGGGGTTACCTTATTATAATTTATGCACTTTTAAATGGATTCAATTTCAAATTATAAATCTACGTTTATGGGAAGTTGTGAATTTTTGTGATCCTTATCAAAGTGTGAGTAGTATATATGAGAGGATCACTGAAAATTAGTGAGGACACCGGGTGTTCGGCAAAATGATGAGCATGTCCAGCCCTAAAGGTAGCACCTCACTTCACAAACTTTTAAGCAGGTCTGCATCAATATCTCAGCCTCATCCTTTACAACACAGTGATGCTGTTGCATTAATTCCCCAAAGTGTTTAATAGCATACATCCCCAGTGATTTAGCAGTGCTGGAATGTGCCGTGTTGATTTCTTGTAGATATGTCTTTGTGCATTTTGTATTATTATCAATATGAGATATTTATATAGCGCATATATCCACGCAACTATTCCCCCTCGATCATTGGGTATCAACCTTTAACGGCACATCGCATTATCAATCTCAACTCCATGGGGAGTATACAACTCTTGCAGCTGGGTGGACAGGGACACATAGTCACAGTACTCTGTCCAAGTCACTGCACGTTCCTGTACCCGCATTTAATTCGGATTCGAGTGTTCTTTTAAGTGTCTGAAAGAGTCTGCACACAAAGCTGACTCCAAGGATTTTACATCCGGTCACAGGTGGACTCGATTCCGGTACCCCAATCTCCCTCGATCACAAGCCTGGCGGCTTAGACCGCTCGCCCACCATGCCCCTACGTGCATATGTTAACAATTTACATTTATTGCCTTCTCGTTACTTCTTACCCTGCCTAAATACATGTGTAGAATGTCCAGTATACCGTATACCTTTTTTTAATAATCAGTTGAAGTTAAGCAAGACTGGTCACGCTGAGACCTTGGGTGGTTGACCGTGTTTAGCAGCTTGACTGCTGAGAGTTTCTTGGACTTCAGTCCTGCCTCACAACGAAGCACACGTAATACATGTGGCCACACCTTATGCAAGTGAGTTTGTACAAACCTGCCCCCCTCCCCCCTCCATCTCTCTCTCTCTCTCGATATCAATATCAATATCTACAGCCAAATGACGTAGATAACTACCGTTGATGTGGTCGACCAAGGGTATTTCATCAGCATGACTGTTTTACAAAACCGTGGTCAAAGTGACTTTGATGACCTTCACAGACCTACATGTGAGTGAGTGAGTGTTTCAGTTTTACGCCGCTTTTGGCAATATTCCAGCAATATCACGGTGGGAGACAGAAATGGGCTTCACATATTGTACCCATGTGGGGAACCGAACCCGGAACTTCGGCGTGACGAGCAGACGCTTTAACCACTACAGCTTGTTCAGCTTGACCTGATCAAGTGAATACTAATGAATTGCGTGACCGTGTCAGATGGTTGGTGTAAACGAGTGGACTGATTATTGTGCCTATTGCTGAAAATTTGAAAAGCGACTACATGGACAGAAATATTGCAGTTGAACTTGAAATAGAAAAAGTGACAGGTTCTGTAACGAATCTATGTATGCATGCTTCGCAAGGACGCAACATTAATAGCATTCTCTGCACCCCTATATAATGAAGATAACCCGATCTGCCGTTTGTGTCATTTGACCTCCCGGGCCATGCATATGTACAGTAGCTCAGGTCAAGCTGAACAAGCTGTAGGCTACCACACTGTCCTTTTTAACAGTATACGTATGCATATAAGTGTGTATGTAGGTAGATGTCAAAGTGTTAATCCACTGACACACCATGTTGCAGGACTCGTAAGTGTATGTCAACGTATGGAATCACCATCAACGTAGCGCTTAATATCACTAAGCACCACGCAGCTAGTACGGATGGATGGCTGGCTGGATGGATGGAAGGATGCGTGCATGTATTTATGCATGCACGCATGTTGGTGTTTTCGGATGTGTGTATTGGTCAGTGCGTGCATTCATGCACGAATGTAAGTTTGCTCGTGGATGTGATTTTTCTATTCACAAATAAATTTCGTGCAAACGTCTCTCCAGATGTGCACGTGTACATAGTGGAGGTGACAGTCGAAATTGACAGTGAAACGTGTCAGTGCGTTGCTGCAAACTCAGATTGAAACTAAACGTTTCATTTCAAACTCCTGTGAGGCTACGTAAGTCCCAAAACATTCAAAATACAATTCCTACTTACAAGATTTTTTTAAACGTGGTATTTTGGTTATTTTAAATTTCGGCTAAAGTTGACTACAATCGCCAGCGGCTGAAGGGAAGGTGTAAATCCACCTAGGGTCCATGGAAGTAGCAAAAGTACTGTAAGTCCCCATGGTCCCTAGTGTGGTGATCTACCTTCAGTTGTTGGCGATCTATAGCCTCTTTTTATATTATGTATTGTTTAAATAGTGCTATTAGTTTTAACTTCACATGCTAGTTTTTATTCGAACTGTGATAGTCTAGTTGCTTTACTGTCCTTTGGCAACAGGTTTTATAAAATATACACATGCTTTATAAACGTCAAATTTGTTCTCGTCACAATATGGATGAAACGTTGCCGATGTGACGTTAAATATTAACTCACTCACTTACTCATTTCAAACTCAATTAAACGATTTTTGACACGTACGTACGTACGACCCAGTAATATTAATATGGCTCTTGATAGATACAATCATCAAGTTTTGTTTTCGTCAAATGTTAAAGGAGGTCTTCGGGCGCAAACGGAAGGCTGGACGATCTACAGTAACACGTGACCTCAATGCCCGACATCAGAATTTACCTCCGGCATGCAACACCAATATTTCACTCAAACACTCTTTAGGAACCAGGGCCCCGATCAACAAAGCATTAGTACAGATACGGCCTGTCGTAACTCTATAGTTTACCACAGGCTTACGAATGTTGAACGCTACGAACGTTCTGTGGATCGTGACCCAGCATTTATATAACTGAAGTTAATCTGTCTGGCTTTTGGGGAGTATGTGTGCAGAAACCAGTCAGAAACCACAATCTCTTTCGTGGGTTTCTTTACTAGGGCTGCGCAATATAACCGGTTTACCGGTATTTACCGGTTCAGACATGAAAACGATACGTATTGCGATACGCTGATCGAAAATCGGTATTTTGATTTGCATTCGGAAAACTTCGTAACACTCGGAAATCTTCGGATATATCCTTGTTTCATTTGTGCCAAATATTATTCATATTTTTATGTTATCATGATTAAAAGTTGTTATTAAAGCTTAATCAAGCCTAGTGATTTTGTTGTGTTTTTTCTCTATTAATCAAGAATTAACTCGATTATAAGTAGTTTTTTGTTTAAAATACTTCGTGCAATATATTGCAATATATATCGCAATACATGTTTTCGCATCGCAATATATCGCAATATGAAAATTCTCTGCAATACCCACCCCATTTTTATTTACTGTGATAGACGAGTACGAGTTGCTTCCTCTTTCACTGACCTGGCCAGCGTTGTTTAAGTGACAGGAATGTACACGCAGTTCAACGCCTAAGTAGCGGTACTCGTCATATGACACTACAGTATATTCTATTGGTCATTAAGGTACCAGTGACTTACATTAAAAAGGCATAAACTATAAAATACACATAATATTTTTATTCGCTGTATGCCAAACATAAATGTGTTATATACAATCAGGTAGGAACGTCCTGTATTCTTGTTCCTGGGCATCCATTGGTCCTTTGTACACGGATTTGTCTTATGAGTTTAGGTTTACGCCCCTTTTAGCAATATTCCAGCAATATCACGGGTCTATCTAATGACATAAGGGGGATGTATGGGCACATCCTTTCGTTTCGTTGTTGAAGACGAGCCCAGCAGGACATGGTCTGTTGTCGACGATGTTGCCAGCATGGCATGTTACGTACACGTTGCAGCTGCTGCAGGATTCGTAGTTACCGTCGGCCAAACCCTGGCAGTTGCTCACGCAGGTTAAACTAAAACAGAAATGACAAGGTACATTCCGGTGTATGAACTATAGATTTGTTCTTTGGTACGGAATTAAAACTAATATCATATTCAGTACCAACCATGGTCTCGTTTTTATTCAACCCCTTCTTATGTTGTACTTGTGACGCTCGTGTTGTACTTGGATATACGTATGCTGTTTTTATTCATGATTTCATAATTTCTCATGATGTCCAACGTATTCATTATTATCAAGTTTGAATATTTTGAAGAAAGAAATGATCTGTTTGTATTACATTTCTTATGTTTACATTTTTATCTTTGTGAATTCATTATTAAAACACATGTGCCGCCATGTAGCTGGAATATGGCTGGGTGCGGCGTAAAACTAAACTCACTCACTCACTCACTCACTCACTAAAACAAATGTTTTAACACGAATATATAAATACAATCGTCGAAAAGCAGAGATCCTGTAAACTGTCCAAACAGAACAGATCATTACCATGTAAGTTTAACAACCAGCTATCAATGAGTAAGATAACGAAAAATACCATGAAATTTGAAAAATTTGTATTATTTCTCTTCAGGAATGGAATTTACTTCTTCAAAAATGAGGGGCGGTGGGGTAGCATAGTGGTTAAAGCGTTGGCTCGTCACGCCGAAGACCCGGGTTCGAATCCCCACATGGGTACAATGTGTGAAGCCCATTTCTGGTGTCCCCCGCCGTGATGTTGCTGGAATATTGCTAAAAGCGGCGTAAAACCAAACTCAGTCAGTCAGTCAGTCCCCACGTGGGCACAATGTGTGAAGCCCATTTCTGGTGTCCCCCGCCGTGATATTGCTGGAATATTGCTAAAAGCGGCGTAAAACTAAACTCAGTCAGTCAGTCTTCAAAAATGTCTCTGACTCTTCCAGTATTTCGTCTTATTAATTTGATATAAAGTTTAAAACTGTTTGCTTTTTTTCGTTGCAAAGTCCTTTTTGGTACTTCACTAGCCTCAAACGACGGATAAGTTGACATATGTCCGATGACCCCAAAGATTTCGGGTTAGCCACATTAATACATGTCCTTGCACGGTAAATTACGTTTATAGTGAACACACTTATACCGAACTGTCGGATATGTCGAAATAGTTTTCGATCGCGACGACTTGGTGTATATTGTAGGCGAAATGCTTGTAACGAAATACGGTTAAAACGAACTAATTTATTGACCCCTCGTTATATACGTAGTTACAATAATTTACGTACGGAGTGCATGTTGCGGAGCTCAGTTCGCAGCGCTTGAAGGAGTCGTCCCAAACGGTGTTTCCGACACACGGCCTGTCGTCGAAGAGTTTCTCATGCCAACAGGTGGCGAACACTTTGCAACCTTTACAAGACTGGTAGTCGCCGTCGGGTAAGCCTGTACAGCTCGTGATGCACGGGTTTTGCGCTGAGTAAAAAAAGAACCTGTATCATGTATCTGTATTCACCCGTGATGAACAAGGCAACTTCAGCACCTCATGCTTGGCATAAAAGGAGATTAACAGGTTCGTGGCTGTTGACATGCCTATGTTGCCATATTTTATCAATTAATTCTTAGTTCTTACCAGGCCCGTGAAGGTATATTGATCTTCAGTAACCCATGCTTGTCGTAAGAGGCGACTAACGGGATCGGGTGGTCAGGCTCGCTGACTTGGTTTATACATGTCATCGGTTCCCAAATGCGCAGATCGATGCTCATGCTGTTGATCACTGGATTGTCTGGTCCATATTCGATTATTTACAGACCGCCGCCATATAGGTAGAATATTGCTGAATGCGGCGTAAAACTAAAGTCACTCACTCACTAGTTCTTACAATAGGCATAACCACTGAGGACCTATAACCCGTGAAGATCCGAATTAGAATAGGTGTTCAGAAACCCATACTCGTCTTAAGAACGACTGATGGGATCTGGTAGTCAGGCTCACTGACTTGGTTCACACATGTCATCGTATCCCAATTGCGTAGATCGATGTTTCTCATATTGATCACTGGATTGTATGGTTCTGACTCGATTATTTACAAACCGACGCCATATAACTGGAGTGCAGCGTTTAACAGCAACCAGCCAGCTGTGACCATGAATTGCTACATCAGACAGAATATAAGCATCTCAAACACTTTCAAAAATTACAGTTTTCTAATTTTTAAATGCAGATCTGAATACGCTTATTATACACAAACAAGGACTGTTGCTTACCTAACGATATAGACATGTCAAAATATAAAGTCGTGATGCAAAGAATCCAAGACCGTTATCTGTGGAATTATTGAAGGGACATTGTCGCGCTTTGGTTCATTTTGACACTTTTTGTTTGGTTTTCTAAGGGCGACAATGCGACAATGTCCCTTCTAGGACTCCATAGTTATCAACGGCTAATGAGTATCATCAGAATCACACACCTGCAGCAAGACAGGCCAGGTACGTCAAGACGATGACGATGTTGGTGGGAGTATGCATGTTTGTAGATGAATCTGAAAAAAAGAGTACAGAAGTGTTAAAACATAATTTTTTTAAACTTTTCTTTGTTTGAACAGGTAGCGCACATGACATTGTTGAATGTTTCTTTTCAAATGCTAATTATGAGAACCGATAGCGTATTAATCTTTTGGTTTAAGCGCTCGTTAATGGATCGATTTCGATCACCCACATGCGTTACATGTGTGGAGCTTATCTCGGATGCCTAGGGGCAGTGGGGTAGCCTAATGCTTGAAGCGTCCGCCTGTTACGCTGAAGACCCGGGATCGAATCAACACATGGTACAATGTGTTAAGCCCGTTTCTGGTGTCCCTCACCATGATGTAGTTCGAGTATTGCTAAAAGCGGCGAAAAACCATACTCACTCAAATTAAGGTCCACACCCGTGACCAATGTGCAATAAAGCTAATAGTGCCATGATATGTTTCAATAATTCAAACCCCACATGGCATTGCTAAAACATTGCTAAAGCAATATAAGATTGCAGAAATATTATAAATGGCGAAATGGCATTACAGGAATGTCACTAAAATTGCTGAGATATTACTAAATGCACGATGAAATTGTTGGCATAGTGCTGCGAATGCCATGATATTGCTAAGAATACTGCTTAACGCGAGGGATCAGTGGTGTAGCCAAGCTCGTCACTCCGATGACCTGGGTTCGATTGCCAACATAGGTAAAACGTGTGACGCCTATTTCTGGTGGCCCCTACCGTGATATTGCACTCACTCACTAAATACGGCGTAAAACTTCCCTCGCCCGCAAATCTGTAAAAACATTCATTGAAGCCGTTTGCACGTTTAAAGTGATGATGCTTAAATATTGCCAGAAGCGGTGTAAAATCGTACTTATCACTTATTTACGAGCTGAGGTAGGTGACCTTGTAAGGTGACCTCAACAGAAGCCCCTGCTCACCAGATCGGGGCCAGTGCTTGTTTGTGTCTTGGTTTGCTCTTTAATGCAACACTCAGCAATATCCCATGTATAGAGATTGAAAACTAGCATGTAACTTAAAAATGAGCGAACGCTTTAACCACTCGGCTACCCCACCGTCTCTCAAACAATATTCCAGCTACATGGCGGCGGGCTGTAAATAATCGAGTCTGGACCAGACAATCTAGTGATCAGCAGCATGAGCATCGGTCTGCGCAATTGGGAACCCATAACATGTGTCAACCAAGTCAGCGAGCCTGACCACCCGATCCCGTTAGTGGCCTCTGACGACAAGCATGGGTTCCTGAAGATCCATTCTAACCCGGACCTTGTCCAGTACTTTTGATACACAAATCGTATCACTATTACACAAATTATATCACCTGACACACTACATCTCATGTCTTACCTTTGGATGTGGAAATGTAACGGCTGTTTCAATGTGTTGCAGTAATGTGTTGCGCATATATGCGGGCTTATATACAGGCCTCACCACGCCCCCACGAGCTATGTCCGGATCAGCGATAGTGGACCAGGTGATCACGTGTAATTAATGTATATCATGAGGTAATATGGACATCTCTATTTGTCTATCCAGGCGTATGTATCGGGTATAAAGATGAACCCTAACGATAAGCTGATAGCAGGGACATTACAGGAACTGCTCAGCGATTATCTGGATGTTACGAAATTACATCTCAATGATAACGTTGTGGCTTGCCGCAAGCACTGAAAGACTTTTCCTGTGTGTATGTACATATGGAATCGAATCCGTGATTCAAGTGAGAGGGGGCTATGGGGTAGCCCAGTGGTTAAAGTGTTCGCTCGTCACTCCGAAGACCCGGGTTCGATTCCCCACATGGGTACAATGTGTGAAGCCCATTCCGGTGTCTCCCGCCTTATTATTGCTGGATTATTGCCAAAAGCGTCGTAAATTTAAACGTTCTCACTAGGTATAGGATTGACGAGCCGGTACAGCTCGGATTTCCATTTGTCACATATTATATCATAAAACGACTTTTGGTATTTCAATGTGACAGATTAGTGTACAGAATAAACTTAATATAATGTATCTTGATATTAGCTTCTATTGTCGGTTGAACAAGAATCGTGACGGGCTTCCATCTGATATTCGATTATGGCAATAATACATTCATCACAGTTTGAGTGTGTGTTTTGTGCGATGCTGCACTTACTGAACTCGACAACGTATGGAACGACCGTCAAATAGTTTCCAACTTACGTACACACACACACCCTCATACATACAAACACTCACATAAACATACTGATATACCTGCACACACACATATCTATACAAGCGCACTTACATGCGCTCTTTTCCTTTATCTCACAGACGCGTACATACATACATACACACCGCACTCTTTCTTTCTCTCACAGACGCGTACATAGATGAACGCACTTTTTCTTTCTCTCACAGACGCGTACATACATACATACACATCGCACTCTTTATTTCACTCACAGACGCGTACATAGATACATACATACATACACGCACTCTTTCTTTCTCTCACAGACACGTACATAGATACATATATACCGGCACTCTTTCTTTCTCTCACAGACATATACATAGATACATACCGGCACTCGTTCTTTCTCTCACAGACACGTACATAGATACATATACACACACTCTTTCTTTCTCTCACAGACGCGTACATAGATACACGCACTTTTTCTTTCTCTCACAGACGCGTACATACATACATACATATACGCACTCTTTCTTTCTCTCATAGACACATACATTGGTACATATATACATATACGCACTCTTTCTCTCACATGCACACACTCTCACACTCCCATACATACATACATACATACATACATACATACATACATACATACATACACATATACATACATACATACATACATACATACATACACGCACTCTCTCACACATACACACATGCTCACTCACACACACACACACACACACACACACACACACAAAAAAAAAAGCCGTGATATTGGAATATTGCTAAAAGCAGCGTAAAATACCCTCACTTACCAAAGTCAGACACATGATGTCCGACCAGTTGTTGTTTCTATACAATGAGTGCAGACACTGGATTCGGAGATATGGTTAATTGTTGATCTCAAACATAGAATAGGTTTGTCAGAATTTAACACTAAACGTGTGCACATATATAACCTAAAAGAATGGATGTTTTATGCTAACTCATTTATTTACAAAACGTTGTGACAATATTTCACAGTTGTTGGGCAGTGTCCAGGTCATGGAGGCAGTCATTGGAGGCTATAGGGTTATATCCCTTGGATGTTCGCGGATGTCAGTCACAGTCACATCTGAAAATAATTCATATATGTGAGTAAATCATTAATATTAGATTGTAAAGCAGTGAATCTAAAAACAGGAAAATATTTGTTGTTACAATCAGTATCCCTACCACTATCCGGGTTAGAATATTGGTCTTCAGCTACCCATGCTTGTCGTAAGAGGAGACTAACGGGATAGGGTGGTCAGGCTCGATGACTTGGTTGACACATGTCATCGTATTCCAGTGGCGTAGATCGATGCACTATCGCCACAGTACTGCCACTAACATGGCTACTGATGTTTATGCAAACACTTCTACCACACATATCATACACCACCACTATCGCCACAATACCGCCACTGACATTGGTACTGATGTTTCTGCAAATACTTCACCACACATATCATACACCACCCACTATTGCCACAATACCGCCACTAACATTGATACTGATGTTTCACAAACACTGCTACCACACATATCATAACACCACCACCATCACCACAATACCGCCACTAACATTGCTACTGATGTTTCTACAAACACAGCTACAACACATATCATACACCACCACTATCGCCACAATACCGCCACTAACATCATTGATACTGATGTTTCTGCAAACACTCATACCAC